AAAGGTATGTCTGATCTAAAATGTACATAGCATAAATTGGTATTTTCGCATTACAATATTCACATGCTTAGGAAGATAATCTAATATATCCTTACCTCTTAAAGTTGTATTATTATAGATATAGATATAATTACATACGCTATTCATAAAACATGATTTGTTCAACGTGCTGGCAACGAAAGTAACAGATACCATGAAGGAAATGTGTTATTCAACATACGCTTAGATAAGTTATATTGCTGCTCTTGATTTATTGTTAATTTCCTAACACTAAAGGTATTTCTAAGCAAGAAGCATATGGAGCAGGAGGTACGGCAATTGGCGGAGTGTTATTTAGGGCTGCTAGAGCGCTTGTTGGGGGAATAGCTGGTAAGTATTGTTGCTGAACACGCTAGAAAAGAATAATTCAGCAGTTTTTGTTAGAAATACTAGTAAATGATGTTAGGGCGATAGTTGGGGTAGTGGAACGCACGATAAGTTAACAGGCTGAAAGATTGCAGAACTTTTGCAGTGGTACTTTATGTTGTTGTTCATCAAGTCTTTTTATAGTCCTGCTTAAGACTTCATTGAGGGTGAATCAATTCGGTAGGAATCATTTAAATGTTTTGGCCATAGTGGCTGTGGCCAGAACTGTCACGATTGGGTTCTGATCAGTTTGAATTGGTACAACTATATGAGGCCTCCTGAACCTCCATAAAAACCTGTTTTGTAAGACAATAATTATTCATAGTTAATAAAACCTACTTTATTGTTAATTTCCTCCCACAAATATTAGCTTTTCCTTTAATACTTTTATTTCCTTTTCGGGAAATAGAAATGTACACTGCACTTGTCTCTGATCAGTTTACTGATTTTTGCTTTTTGCTTATATGATGCCACTACATGTATTAATACATATAAGTATATTTTTTATGAAGTTTTTTCAAACCGACTGTATATCTTCACTTCGCCCTTCTGTTATAATTTCAGGTTCACTGATTGGCTACATATCATCTGATGATTACCAAAGAATAATCCAAATAATGATTAACCTTAGCGACAGCAAGAAAAAGGAACTAGTTAATAAGGTACAGGAATTAGTGGGGAGTGTTCTTAAAGATGCTCTTGTTCAATTTGTGACGTCAGAGGAGAATCGAACAGCATTGATACAACTCATCCGAAGTCATTAGTGTTAAACTAATCTGTATGCCTTTAATGCATTGTGGTGATTTGAACTTTTACAACTTCTTCAGTTTATACTGCAGGTACATGTAAATCAGAGATGCCCGTGTGATATTTAATTGGAAGCGAGAATATAACCAGTGCAGAATATGCCGTTTTCCTTCATTCCCACTCGAAGTGTTGTGTCCTTTGTACGGATTTGATTGCATATGTTCTAAAAGTATCATTGAACATGTTTAACGGAACTGTACTACTTACCATAATAATTGTTTAAAAGGGGCGTTTCAATCCTCAAGAGAAAAACAAAAACAGAAGATACGTTTGCTACCATTACCTATTACAATAAATAGTCTCAATGTCGTTTGGAATTAGGGGTAATTTATTTCTTTTTAAGACATTACACCAGGGTAGCATATTATTTACATCGGCGCAAAGCACAGTTTGATATGCCGGTATACTAAACTGATTTTGTGATGCAAGTCAACCTCAACTGAATATTTATGAATTTAAATCTAAATTGATTCTATATTGTTCATGTATTTTGTTAATGAAAACTTTACTACTATTGTTTATTCAAGTATATATTCGCACAATTACAACCCTCACAAATATCATCTACTGCCTAATACAGCTGGTAAAATATGTGTATTGTATAACACGTACTCCTGGATAAAGAGATTGGAAGTCATAACATAGCACACACATTGACGTTCCTGTGTGTTTTTGCCCATGTAAAAGAAAGAAAAAAGGTTTTCAAGGTACATGGGATGGCATGTAGCATGTAGCATCTCGACCACGTTGGTGTGTATTTTCCGATAGTTTCTTTAGGACAGCGCTGTATCGTGCTTCTCACATTGTCCATTATCTTTAAAACTCAGTATCTGAAATAAATGCTATATTTTTTATATTAGTACCCTCCCATAAGTATCACCGTGCCTCTGGCAAAAACGGTGAAATCGCATTAAAACAGTTTTAACAATGTTTGAAAAGAAAACGATACATTGCAAAGACGTTTTTGAAAAATAGTATATCGATGAAATAAACAACGAAAAGGATTAGACGTGTAAAACTTCTTTAACACTAAGACTGCAGTAAGACTTTTATCCTTAAAATAGTTTGGGTTTTTTAGGTTTTTTTAAATAACATCTACTTGAGCGTTATCAATGTTTTTGAAATATTCGAATGTGTCATCAATAGGATTATATTTGTTTATTTATTTTTATTTTTAATTTGGTTATTTATTTATCATTGTATTTTGTATATTTTCACCATCCTTAAGTTTTCGGTTTTCATAGCCCTTTGGTAGTACATTGTGTAAACGTTATTGACTTATAATAGATTATAGTTGGATGACCTGTCGTGTTGACCTTTCATTGAAATTATCAGAATAGCTTGTTGCATTCCTTGTGTAGTTTTTCCAACTGTGTGTTGATATTAAGGTGTAGCGAGTGTCTCATACACGTATTGAGTCTGGATTTCAGTAATTCTGTAACTTAACAAATAAGTTAAATGCGATATTAAATCGGGAATATTTTAATTAATCAATTATATGATATATAAATTTCTGAAAAAAGTGACATGACAATGAATTAAAGGAAATTCATCCTCTCACACATGTCACACATAAATCAATGTACAATAAACAGCGGAGATGTGAGTCAACTTAACTCGGATTAATGTAATGATCATCTAACGGATAACCCTAATTGTGCTTGTGGTAATTTTATAGAAAATGTAGGTCGATTCTTCCCTACTTGCCCTAGATATGCAAATGAAAGGCAAATTTTAATTCATTCTTTATCTAATGAAACGGACAATCATATGAGATAGTACTTTTCTCACAAAGGGAGCTATGGATTAAAGTATTGCAACAAATGTATGTGTTTTATCTTGTGTCCTGGATTATATAGAAGATTTTAACTATATTGTACCACACATTAATGCATCATTGATTTCATCCAATTTTAGTATAACTGGTTAATATGGCACTGTGTGTAGTGACAGTGACTTTGAAGTGCCCTAACCAAACAATATATATACCCTGGTAAAATCTTTGGTATTCCTGATATTCCAATTAGACTGCTAATCTTTATGTACATATATATACAACTGGCTCATTGGTTCGGCCTACCCTACAGTGTATCTACCTAAACTTAATATATTACATCTTCAATTTATATGCAGTATATGTTTGAAATGGATATCTTTCAATAGTGCGTTTAAAGGCAATGCCTGTGCCCAATCCTAATGTTAATTGCAACAATAAAACAATTTTGAAATGAATTTTTTTCTTGGCATATTTCTTTGATCCTATTTTGCCCTAGTTTTATCGATTTTGAGTTCGAAGTATGGTTTTGTGAATACTTCGGTGGTTTCTGTTTTTAAAACTACTTTGCAATGTTTTGTCAAAGTTGTCAATCAAGATAAATCTTTACTCAAAATTCAAACTGCAAAAAAAAATGGAAATCCAACTTTAATTGAAGAGAAAAAATGGATTCCTCCCCTGCTTTAATTGTCACTTTGTCGAAACACAACGGAAGGGAAATTTACAGTCGGTAAGTAGAAAAAGAAATATCTGAAAATAAAAACTCTGCTTAAAATTACCAAATATACGCTTAGTTAGTTTTTTCCTTTAAATTTTTGGTCGCACACAAGCTCATTGCATAGCTCCCCAAAACCTGCTTTATTTCAGTGTCGCTGTATTAAAATGTTACTGATTTTCGTTACAGTGATGTAACAATAACTGACCTTATGATTATAATTCACTACGTTCAACCGAACATAAAGCATTTATCATATAAAACTCAACACCTATGTATGGGAGTGGCCTTCGACGGTCAATCATTTTATTAAAGGAAGTACATGAAATACAAAGGGCAGGTGCTCGATCCTTCTTCCCTTCTCCCTTCTTTCGTCCTGAATCCGGATCCTGGCCGACATAGGAATTCCATTTCCGGAATCATCCCTGGGGTTCGTGCCTGTCTCAAGGAAAACGGGAAATTTCATAATTTTATGATTTAACAAAAGGAAATATAATTTCTTGAAGTGAATCGATGAACCGTCAAGACTCGAATGACTATGTTACCCGCAAACTACATTTATTACTCTATAGACACCCGTATCGCACCTGCAACACGTGCGGTTACACATTACCCGTTCCGCCTCACGCGGCTTCCTGTGTCACCTTGGCCTCATATCCGGACACTAGTACACCTGTACTACCTGCACTACATACATGACGGTATACCGTGACTATAATAAATACATCTATTGTAGGGACTCTAAATACTACCCGTGTTGGCCATGGTTTTGACCCGAGACGACACCGAAAACCAATGTTATGTACTGGAGCCTAAAATGAAACTAACGATCTGATTGGCTGGGTTTTTTTATGAGAAGAGCCATTCAGATCGCTAGTTTCATTTTGGGTTCCAGTAGATAGGCCAAACAACGTCCGTCGATGTCGATCAGAACAGAAGGAGTTAAATAATCCTAAGGGGCAACACAATCAGTCGTTGACGTCAGTCCCGTACTATAAGAGGTTGTTTTGCATACTTGCTGAGAAAAAGGTAACACTATATATTACATTTAGTACAACGGAATAATCTCTATTTACTAGGAAATTACTTTGGATTATTTCTAAACTCTGTGGTCAAACTTTGAACTTGCCCTAGCTCTTTTCCATTATTGCAATAATACATATCTCTCAAAGATGAACAAAAGCAAACATTGTTGTCGTTTTATAATTGTCAGAATAAACAATCTGAATATGTCCTTTTTTGAGAATTCCGACTATTCAGCTTACATGTCGTTTTGTTATTCAGAACAAATTCATGTACTGACACGTTTCCTTTGTACTATCAGCGAGCTTGGTGTTTTACGATGACTTAAAAATAGCCCATTCTTTTGAAAATAGCACATGGGAAATACCACAAAATACATTGAATAATCATTTTCTTTATTGACAGAGCCTTTGGCTTGTACACGTGCATTTGGCCAAGCTTCACCATTGGTCTCTTACTGAAAGAAACACAAGTTTTCCAATATGAAGAGATCATTGTATCTTTCGGGAAAAAATAAAATAACGAATTTCATTAAATAGAGGAACGATCGTGAAAAATGGGCCTTAGATTTCTTGAATTAATTTTGCATGTCAATATAAAGCATTTTGAAGGCATTCATACCTGACAAAAGAACATATATACCTAATGTCTATACATTAGTATAACGCTCATGCCACAGAAAAGAAACTCATAATGTCTATCCTATTAAAAACGAATCCTTTACTCTGTTGAGGTTTAAAATGCCTCCTTGATTTATGGCTGTCCTGGTAATATTAATTTGATTTTCCTTTTAAAAAATGTGAAGTTTTCACCTCATTATTCCAAATTTATCCTAGAATTAAACACGTCCGGAATGTTTAATTCTTCTATTTAATACATACAATTACTTAAATGTTCTGTCCAAATTACATTTCCATTGTATTTTATTATAAATTTCCTTTATATATTCAACATTCATCGATAGAGGGTTATTTAAAACGCGATTTGTGTTGTTTGTGATTTCATTGGATGACTCATCAAGCGTAGTAATTGAGGTCAAGCTTCATATTTTGTTTTGTGGGCAACGAAATTTACTTGATGACTAAATATGTTTTAAAATAATATATCAATGATATACTAAGTATATATATTCTGTCAAATTGCTAGGCAGTCAACATGGCAGAAGGTGGCGGTGTAGATTATAAAACCTATTTTGTACAGCTCATTAAGATTTTGGAGACCAATCAAGAAATGAAAAAAAGTATAAAAGGTATGTCTGATCTAAAATATACATAGCATAGATTGGTATTTTGGCATAACAATATTCACATGCTCAGAAAAATAATCTAATATATCCTTACATCTTAAAAGTTGTATTATTATATATATACCGAACAAAAAAAAGAAACGCACAATTAAATTATGCAATCAATAGCCTATGATATTTTGGGAAATTTGTACAACATTTTATATCAATATGAAGGGACAAGTCTACTTTTTACAATACTGTAGAAGAAAAGTCTGTGTGACGTCATTGTGTCATCAGTAGTTACTCAAAGTGGGATACCCGCGAAAAACAAAATGACACTGGTGTGGGCACCTTTTGCACGAATCCATGCACGGATTCTCCTATGCATTGAATTCATGAGAACATTTATTCGCCATAAGGGCATGCTGTTCCATTCTTGTGTTAATGCTGCGATGAACTGGGCGCGGTAAGTTGGGGGTTTTGACGTTTCCTAATACGCCTGTCCATCTCATCCCACAGATGCTCAATGGGAGACATGTCGGGCAATATGGGGGCCATTCCACACCACACGCCTCCATCGACGCATCCCAAACCTATTCAGGCCATGTCTGCGCATCTAGTCAAGACGCACTTGCCGCCTCCGTGGTGTCCGAGGTGGCCCGACATAGGTCGGCGCGCAATGATTCTCTCTTCACGCAAGCGGTTCCTGGCAGTTTGAGGACTTATGGGTCTGCCATGAGTACCTAAGGTATGCGACAGCAGTCTCTACAGCAGTCTTGAATCTGTTGCGCACGTGCGACAATCGAATCGCCCTGTCTTGTCGTGCGGTCGTTACACGCGGACGACCGCTCCTGGGACGATTGGAAACTAACCCAGTAGCACAGAAATGTGTACAGAGACGGTTAATTGTACACGGGCCAACACCAAACTGCCGTGCGACAGCAGTTTGGCTATGACCATCCATCAACATCGCAATTGCTCTACCCCTCTGAATTTGCGTTAAGCGTGGCATCTCAGTCAATGGCGAAATCAAAATGCCAACGTGGAAAATTAATGTGGCTGAACTTAGAGTATCCGTTGAGATTATTTGTTTGAAAACCTCCGGCTTGGCTTGATCACGCCGCGTGATTTGGACTAAAGAAGCTCACAAAGTCACACAATGACATCGGCACGCTTGGCTGATTTTAGGGTAGATTGTTGAAAAGGGAGATCGTTCTTGATATGATACCTGACCAAATATTCCATTATTTCCTTACAGCTAAGGTGTACTCCAGGGGGGAACTCTGTGCGTTTCTTTTTTTTTTTATCAGTATATATAATTGCCAACGCTATTTATAAAACATTATTTGTTCAACGTGCTGGCAACGAAAATAACAGATAACAAGAAGGAAATGTGTTATTCAACATACGCTTAGATAAATTATATTGCTGCTCTTGATTTATTGTTAATTTCCAATCACTAAAGGTATTTTAAAGCAAGTAGCATATGGAGCAGGAGGTACAGCAGTTGGCGGAGTGTTATTTGGGGCTGCTGGAGCGCTTGTTGGGGGAGTAGCTGGTAAGTATTGTTGCTGCACTGTTGGGGTACACGCTAGAAAAGAATAATTCAGCAGTTTTGGTTGGAAAGACTAGTAAATGATGTTAGGGAGATAGTTGGGGTAGTGGAATGCACGATAAGTTAACAGGCTGAAAGTTAACAAAAAATGTGTGCAGTGGTACTTTAATTTGTTGTTCATCAAGTCTTTTTATAGTCTACTTCATAAGACTTCATTGAGGGTGAATCAATTTGGTAGGAATCCTTTAAACGTTTTGGCCATAGTGGCTGTGGCCAGAACTGTCACGATTGGGTTCTGATCAGTTTGAATTGGTACAACTATATGAGGCCTCCTGAACCTCCATAAAAACCGATATTGTAAGACAATAATTATTCATAGTTAATAAAACCTGTTGTATTGTGAATTTCCTCCCACTAGTATTAGCTTTTCCTTTAATTCTTTTATTTCCTTTTCGGGAAATAGAAATGTACACTGCACACGTCTCTGATCAGTTTACTTATTTCTGATTTTTTCTTATATGATGCCACTTCATGTATAAATACATATATTCATATATTATTTATGTAGTTTATTCAAACCGACTGTATACCTTCACTTCGCCCTTCTGTTACAATTTTAGGTTCACTGATTGGCTACATGTCATCTGATGATTACCAAAGTATGATCAAAATAATGATAAACCTTAGCGACAGCAAGAAAAAGGAACTAGTTAAGAAGGTACAGGAATTAGTGAGGAGTGTTCTTATAGATGCTCTTGTTCAATTTCTGACGTCAGAGGAGAACCGAACAGCATTGATACAACTCATCCTAAGACATAAATGAACTGACCTTTAAACTTTCGCTGCTGGAAATGTAATAAGCGTCCTGTAATTTTTGAAATATTTTCCCACATTGATAACAACAACAAAAAGATTCAAAGATCAATCTTGTCATGTACGATTCTAGGATACAACGGTGTAGATTTATAAAGAGGACACAACTTGTTTAAGTCAAGATAATACAGTATACGTGTATCACATGAGTATCAATATAATGTCTATTTTATTATATTAATTTCGAACAGATATTGTATGTTTCAGCAAAAAGCAGGTACAGTGTATATTGTGCACTTATTTTGTTTAAGATTCTAATGAAACAAACGAAGTCAATTTCAGACTTTCAACATTTATAAAGTTTATCATAGAAAGGGGGAAAAAAAATTGAATGTATCAGAGCGTCTATTCTTGTTACAGATGTAAGTATCATTAGTTTCGTCTTTGCCAAATTAAGCTTTAATTGTATTGTAAAACAACTGGTTATATTTGAGATGTATCCGAGTTTTGTATTGGACTACTATCGTGTGCATGTACTAAATAATGTGTAGATAAATTATTGCTGTTATTACGAGGCGAGTTCACGATTTTTTTTACATACAAATAGAACAATGCAAGTTCTATAGAGTCTATGGTAATGGATGGGTTTACTTACACCACACACGAGAATACATCATCACTGCTTAGTCGGGCTTGTTATAATGACGTTGAAATACCTAGTCAATATCAATGTTTCATATAACAATTTTTGAGATTTTTGAAAAACTACTTTTAGGGATAATCCAAACTTACGATTTTCAAAACAAACCCGAATTTTATTCTGATCTATATTAATATATACTTGTATTCTTCTTTTTCGGTACATGAAAAAAAGTATAGTGGCTGAGAAAATTGGAAATGAATCAAACGGACATCGTGAAATAATAAACACACACATCAAGAAACGTATAATAGACTATACATATGTCTGATATATATAAGCGTAATGTCTATTGAACTATCATCTGACATGAATTAAAGGCATTGCATTTTATTGTTGTTGTTGTTTGTTTTATTATATTTATTGACGTTTCAAGGAATTAATCTTAAACTAAAATTGATTTGTCGTCCTTCACTAAAGCATTTTTACAACATCTCATTATATGTAAATGTATAGTTATAGCGTAAACCGATATATAAAGTGTTGCAACATTCGTCCATAAAGCGTTGCCTCCCTTCATCTGTATCCTGATGACGTTGTCGTTCAGAACGCGAGAGATTCGAACTGTTGTCATATCCCCCGAGATCGCTGTCTTCTGATGTCCTTGTCGTTCAGAGTGGGATGGATTAATAGTTGTCATTTGTCGACATTTCTGCCATAGTCCAATCACAGTTCACAACCACGAGTAGGTACTCATTTCTACTATATTCAAATAGGAATAGAAGATGTATGGAGTGTTTGGAGCAGTGTTTATTAAAAATAAGTTAAAATTTGGTTTTCAATACATATCATACATTATACATCTTAACCACATTATCAGTAGAAGATAATATTACACCATGTGAAGTCGGAACTGTCGAGAGATGATTTTGTTATGGCAAATACATGATGACATAAAACACTAAAATGATGTAATGTGACATGAATGTTAATCAATTGAAGGAAATTCATCTTCATTCGAGGTACTTATGTACAAAAAGCTACTGAAAATAAATATTCGCCATGAACTGTTAAAATATGTTAAATCAATATGAATGAACGATTTACAAACATACAGGAACCTCAATTAAAATTGGGCGATCTGGAATGTAATAAGTTTAGACAGCCGTATTTCAACCATTAAACTGGTCACGATACACTAGTAATAGAGACTCTTAAAATTCATATTTTTTGTTTTAATGCCAAATGATTCATAAAAATATCTGTATTCACCGAGACTGTTTCTTCGGTATTGGTTCTGCATGTTTAACACAAAAATATTTTAATTTAATACTACAATCAAAAATGTTTCCTGGTGGTGTTTTTTAATGTTAAGAAATTAAGCTGAAGAAACACAAAATGTACGTTTGTAAAACCTGACATTCAAAACATATAAAAGAGCAATGTAACAGTTTTCGCATACATTGTAGAAAAATGTAAACATTTAGACTTTTGTGTCTGCAATTTTCTCATCAAATGTATAACAACATATATAGATACATTTGTATGATACTTACATGTATATCGTATGTTTAATCCTTTCACCCTGAGTAACTTTTATGGACTCTACCATAGTTATACAATGATCTAGATGAGTCCATTATGGTTTACAGTAGTGAAAGGGTTATATAGATTTGAGAAATAGCAAACGACGGATATATATATATATATATGCGTAAAGTAACTGTCACGGTACATTGGCAACCGCTTTAAATCAAACGTCCCCATCATTACTGATATCCTGCTCATACAGTCACACAAGTCACATCATTACTGATATCCTGCTCATACAAGTCACATCATTACTGATATCCTGCTCATACAGTCACACAAGTCACATCATTACTGATATCCTGCTCATACAGTCACACAAGTCACATCATTACTGATATCCTGCTCATACAGTCACACAAGTCACATCATTACTGATATCCTGCTCATACAGTCACACAAGTCACATCATTACTGATATCCTGCTCATACAGTCACACAAGTCACATCATTACTGATATCCTGCTCATACAGTCACACAAGTCACATCATTACTGATATCCTGCTCATACAGTCACACAAGTCACATCATTACTGATATCCTGCTCATACAGTCACACAAGTCACATCATTACTGATATCCTGCTCATACAGTCACACAAGTCACATCATTACTGATATCCTGCTCATACAGTCACACAAGTCACATCATTACTGATATCCTGCTCATACAGTCACACAAGTCACATCATTACTGATATCCTGCTCATACAGTCACACAAGTCACATCATTACTGATATCCTGCTCATACAGTCACACAAGTCACATCATTACTGATATCCTGCTCATACAGTCACACAAGTCACATCATTACTGATATCCTGCTCATACAGTCACACAAGTCACATCATTACTGATATCCTGCTCATACAGTCACACAAGTCACATCATTACTGATATCCTGCTCATACAGTCACACAAGTCACATCATTACTGATATCCTGCTCATACAGTCACACAAGTCACATCATTACTGATATCCTGCTCATACAGTCACACAAGTCACATCATTACTGATATCCTGCTCATACAGTCACACAAGTCACATCATTACTGATATCCTGCTCATACAGTCACACAAGTCACATCATTACTGATATCCTGCTCATACAGTCACACAAGTCACATCATTACTGATATCCTGCTCATACAGTCACACAAGTCACATCATTACTGATATCCTGCTCATACAGTCACACAAGTCACATCATTACTGATATCCTGCTCATACAGTCACACAAGTCACATCATTACTGATATCCTGCTCATACAGTCACACAAGTCACATCATTACTGATATCCTGCTCATACAGTCACACAAGTCACATCATTACTGATATCCTGCTCATACAGTCACACAAGTCACATCATTACTGATATCCTGCTCATACAGTCACACAAGTCACATCATTACTGATATCCTGCTCATACAGTCACACAAGTCACATCATTACTGATATCCTGCTCATACAGTCACACAAGTCACATCATTACTGATATCCTGCTCATACAGTCACACAAGTCACATCATTACTGATATCCTGCTCATACAGTCACACAAGTCACATCATTACTGATATCCTGCTCATACAGTCACACAAGTCACATCATTACTGATATCCTGCTCATACAGTCACACAAGTCACATCATTACTGATATCCTGCTCATACAGTCACACAAGTCACATCATTACTGATATCCTGCTCATACAGTCACACAAGTCACATCATTACTGATATCCTGCTCATACAGTCACACAAGTCACTTCATTACTGATATCCTGCTCACACAGACACACAAGTCACATCATTACTGATATCCTGCTCACACAGACACACAAGCCACATCATTACTGATATCCTGCTCATACAGACACACAAGTCACATCATTACTGATATCCTGCTCATACAGTCACATAAGTCACATCATTACTGATATCCTGCTCATACAGTCACACAAGTCACATCATTACTGATATCCTGCTCATACAGTCACATAAGTCACATCATTTCTGATATCCTGTTCAGACAGTCACACAAGTCACATTATTGCTGATATCCTGCTCCTACAGTCACACCAGTCACATCATTACTGATATCCTACTCATACAGACACACAAGTCACATCATTACTGATGTCCTGCTCATACAGTCACACAAGGCACATCATTACTGCTATCCTGCTCATACAGTCACACAAGCCACATCATTACTGATATCCTGTTCACACAGTCACATAAGTCACATCATTTCTGATACCCTGTTCATACAGTCACACAAGTCACATTATTACTGATATCCTGCTCCTACAGTCACACAAGTCACATCATTACTGATATCCTGCTCATACAGTCACACAAGTCACATTATTACTGATATCCTGCTCATATAGACATACAAGTCACATCATTACTGATATCCTGTTCATACAGACACACAAGTCACATAATTACTGATATCCTGTTCATACAGACACACAAGTCACATCATAACTGATATCCTGTTCATACAGTCACATAAGTCACATTATTACTGATATCCTGCTGCTACAGTCACACAAGTCACATCATTACTGATATCCTGTTCACACAGTCACATAAGTCACATCATTTCTGATCCCCTGTTCATACAGTCACATAAGTCACATCATTTCTGATCCCCTGTTCATACAGTCACATAAGTCACATCATTTCTGATACCCTGTTCATACAGTCACATAAGTCACATTATTACTGATATCCTGCTCCTACAGCCACACAAGTCACATCATTACTGATATCCTGCTCATACAGTCACACAAGTCACATCATTAGTGATATCCTGCTCATACAAGTCACATCATTACTGACATCCTGCTCATACAGTCACACAATTCACGTCATTACTGATATCCTGCTCATACAGTCACACAAGTCACATCATTACTGATATCCTGCTCATACAGTCACAAAAGTCACATCATTACTGATATCCTGCTCCTACAGCCACACAAGTCACATCATTATTGATATCCTCCTCATACAGTCACACAAGTCACATCATTAGTGATATCCTGCTCATACAGACACACAAGTCGCATCATTACTGATATCCTGCTCATACAGACACACAAGTCACATCATTACTGATATCCTGTTCATACAGTCACACAAGTCACATCATTACTGATATCCTGATCATACAGTCACACAAGTCACATCATTACTGATATCCTGCTCATACAGTCACACAAGTCACATCATTACTGATATCCTGCTCATACAGACACACAAGTCACATTATTACTGATATCCTGATCAGTTATATGTTACAGAGGACTACTACACTTTTGTGACAAAGAAACAATAACATGTACTTTCAACACTTGGGTAGTATTGAACGATATGATTAGCACATTAAGAAGACATCCTGTACATCTGATTAGCTGCCGTGTGGACTGTTTACATTCTGGACGAGGCCGGAGACTTCTCGTGCACACACGCGCTATGATTCGTGTTTAAAGTGTACGATTTCTTTAGGCCCCGTAATCTCGTCAACTCCATCTGTCTGTACATAGAGTTCCGTCCCCAAGTATTGGAGAATCGGTCATCTGAAATAGAGGTAACACAATGGTTATAGTCAGGATATTATACCTTAAACGTAGTAAATATGAACTGAATGAATACGGAAATATTAAATCCAATGATGTTAAGTAAAAATGAGAATTGGTATAATAAGAAATGTGTGCAATATTCGACAGAGGGAAACACCTGTCGATGATACATAGGATATATGAGACATATTTTATTAGTGTTTTTTTTTTCTTTTTAATCAGAACCTTATATCGCCATATAAGTTACAGTTTCACCGAGACAGTTACGTAGAGGTGCTAGATGTAGAGATGAAACTGGTGCATGTATCATTTTCAATCGTACTGTAAACAGGGATGAAATGGCACGCCTCGGGCTCAACATCTGGTAACACGCAAGTTCGTATTTTTCTTCATGTATAAATAGGATATTGTTGAATTGTATAACTAAAATGTCCTAGTTACTATTTACGATTGGTCACTTCGTCCATTGGAAGTACTGTACGTATGTTACTCTCTACGAAGCGTTAAGTAGTAATAGAACGTGAAATTTTACATTTTAAAATCATATTCGAATTTAAAATCAATAAAACTTGCGCAAAATATGAACAAAGACAAGATTAACATAAAGACTATTGAAAGCATACGTTGATTAAGACCAGGTGTTCTGGAAGGTAAGAGTCTTTTCTTCGTTGATGGCAGCCGACATGTGCAACTGTCAAATCCCAGTAATCTCACTTCCTCTAAGAGAGTACCGTTAAACTTATGACCTTCATATCACACAAGAAAACAATACATTTCCAAATGAGAATATGATGGCATAAAATTTGCCCAAAGTCTTCAACAATCTGTAACGCTAGAAACTCTGTGTTTGTCCGTCAGTAGTCTATATCTGTCACAGTGTTCGGAACAACCTCGAGGGAACAATATGTGAATGAATACATATCTTATAATGTTTCTGCAAGTAACAGTGTGTTATTCTGCCACTATTTGCCCCGTGGAAATTTGGCATGTTACGGGCTTTGCAATTTATTGACGGAAACATACAGGTTACATGAAATCAAAATTAGTAAATAAAACCGTGAGATGCATCGGTGGTAAGCGATTTGGAATAGACAACGAGTGACATTATATCATAAACCTCACGTTTGATATCAAAATATTTTGAACTTTTTCTATTACAGAATGCTGCCATATCGTGGGTAGACATACGTCTACCGTTGGTTATCAGGATGATTGATACAACAAAATACATTGTAGTTGTTTAATTCAATTAACCGATACCGTCATATGTTCTATAAAAACCAGACGTCAAATAACTTCATGTTTTGTAATCTTAATACATTCTATTAAAGTACATATTCATCAAGTAAGATGCAAATAGTTATCAAATGTCATGCTAAGTGAAAGTTTATCAGTTGATGCCAAAAAGCCTTTTTAAATATGGTTTTAATTTACGTACTGGTAGATTAATATTGTGTATTGTGTTACTTTCTACTAGCACATAACAAGATGATTTTATTGAACGCACGTCCGTTGAGTCCGAGGCGTGACAATGGAATGTGCTTACAACAGTCGATTTACCTCGGTTAGTACTAATTCCATGCAAGTCACCTCAAGAAGCATTCCATTTTATCACACTCCTTTCGAATGAACGTCCAGCTTTGCATAGTAAAGCAGTTATGTGTTCGTAAGCATTTACCTATGAACGAATGTTTCGTCTCAGAAGATCGAAAAGACCCTGTGGTGAATGATTTCCGAAATCGGGACGCCCTTTTTCGGAAGTTTCTCATAAATGGTGCTGTAGATATAGTATATAACACCGGATTGATGGCAGAGTTTAAGGGGAGGACAAACACTGCGATCCATGCGTACACCTAAAACAAATAGTGAAAATGCGTTTGAGTATCAATTTTCAAATTTAAGACTGCTTTAAATCTTATTAAACTTCTTTTTGATTATTAAACAAATATATTTGATTTTATAATCATAGGAAACAGTTGCCATTTTGACCTACGCATTTTTCCTGCAGTGAAGTGTTTGGCTTTGTAGATTCGCCGTTAATGATAACGACATATATCATGTATTCCCTTCTTTTTGACAAAAAGGGCAAACATGATACGAATCTACAGTTTTCTGTAGATGATTATCTTTTTTTTATCATATGGCATTTGAATACAATTGTATAAAAATGTTTAGAAGAAATAGTCTTTTTGAACTTTTATACATTAAGGACATGTATACCAAATTGTATATCATAACTCACCTGAGGTGGAACTCTTGCATCTGCTAAAGATGCAAAACCTAGCAGTATAATAGGTACCCAGCAGCAGAAATCAGACATCACTATTAAAGTCATCCTCTTAGCCATGGAATGGTCAGATTTAGCTTTAGACTTTCTAACAGCAGTAGTTGTTTTCTTAGCTACCATAAACATCCATAGGTACGATATAAATATAACAAGGAAAGATACAAAATTTAAAACAAGGAAAACAAATACAGAATATTCCCATCCTCTTGGTTTCTCTGGAGTGATATGTAATGCCAGACACACGGCTGAGCGACCGTAAAAGTTTGAGAAATATTCCCAACCCATTAAAGGTGCGCCAGATAACACGAGGACCAACAGCCACACACACGGCATCACAATCAAAGCCTCTCGAAGACCAAGACGCTTCATCTTGAGCGGAAACAGGATGCAGATGAGACGATCTAAAGTGATAACGGTTAGGGTAAAAACAGAAAGCTCGCTTGAAAATGTGGAGATGAATCCCGCGAACATACAGAGATTGCTCTGTCGCCATGACCTGTCGTAGATAGAGTAAATACCACGATAGTGGGTATCCACTACGGCTATTATCAACAGGTACACACCCATGAAGAAGTCCCCCAGCGCCAGGTTGCTGATCAAGAAGGAATGTACCTGAAAATTATTACCTCATTTCCGTTAAAAACTCTTCTAAATCGTGATCAATATTTTGCTGTAAATCATAAAAATATCTTTTATCAAATTATTTTATATTTGGAAAATATTACACACAGGAACTACAGTATAATACTCCAATAGTTTCAAAATATTATTTTCTATTTCTTTCAGAGAAGGCAAAACACGTATAATTTATTCTCTCATGATAAATGCAACGAGTTCTTGCTTCAGTGATGAGAGTGTGTTTCTACCGTTTAAATTATAAAAACGTAAGAAATAGGTCTATGGTATGGGGAACGTAGTTGTAAAATAACTACATTGTATCAAAATAAGTTAGACATATTTACGTTAAAACCATTTTAAGGATAGAAGAGTGTATTTAAATACAACGTTTACGTTGAAATTATATAATTAAGTTACCTTTCCGACTCTGAAATCCCGCACCCTCCAGAAGAAGACAAGTCCGTTACCGAGAAATGCGATAGTCCCAAGAATCCATATGCTTATTCGTAAAAAATAGTTGGACATGAGATCTTCGCACGACGAGAACTCATCTGCCTCGGGAAGACATTTCTCGACAAACTTCGCAACACAGCAAAAGTGGAATTCATCGAAATACCTTTTAAAAAAGGTTGGAATAAAAAAGAAAATACTTAAGAAATACAGCATACAACCATTAAGTAACGGTAATTAAAGACCTAAAAATAGACTTTTATGGAGTTACGACTGGGTATTTATCATAAAAGAACTAGATGATACATGTATGCTCTACAAAACAGATGACGTGTAATTGTTTCATTGCGAACACTTTACTATGTACTTGGTAGATTTATCTTTTTTTGTTTTCGTCAAATTGTGGTACTGTATCAAATGTGATTTATAAATGGATTCAGTATATCCTATATACAGGTACATGTAGTTCATGACCTTCATATGTTCTTGTTATCGGATGAAGTACATTTGTGTATAACTGGTGTCACACTTAATGAGGTGAACGGTCAGCCTCTGGGGAACCGGGTTTACAGACTTAAGCCTGACGTAATATTTATAACGTCCCCTGTTTACATAAGTCACTAATAAACTATAACATAGTCCCTCTGACTACATCAATCACTAGTAAACTATAACAGTCCCTCTGACTACATCAATCACAAGTAAACTATAACATATATAGTTCCTCTGACCACATCAATCACTGGTAAACTATAACATAGTCCCTCTGACTACATCAATCACTAGTAAACTATAACAGTCCATCTGACTACATCAATCACAAGTAAACTATAACATAGTCCCTCTGACTACATCAATCACAAGTTAACTACAACATAGTTTCTCAGACTACATCAATCACTAATTAACTATAACATAGTTTCTCTGACTACATCAATCACAAGTTAACTATAACATAGTTTCTCAGACTACATCAATCACTAGTAAACTATAACATAGTCCCTCTGACTACAGCCATCACTAGTAAACTATAACATAGTTTCTCTAACTACATCAATCACTAGTTAACTATAACATAGTTCCTCTGACTACATCAATCACTAGTTAACTATAACATAGTTTCTCTGACTACATCAATCACAAGTTAACTATAACATAGGTTCTCAGACTACATCAATCACTAATTAACTATAACATAGTCCCTCTGTCTACATCAATCACTAGTTAACTATAACATAGTCCCTCTGACTACATCAATCACAAGTTAACTATAACATAGGTTCTCAGACTACATCAATCACTAATTAACTATAACATAGTCCCTCTGTCTACATCAATCACTAGTTAACTATAACATAGTTTCTCTGACTACATCAATCACAAGTTAACTATAACATAGTTTCTCGGACTACATCAATCACTAGTTAACTATAACATAGTTTCTCTGACTACATCAATCACAAGTTAACTATAACATAGTTTCTCAGACTACATCAATAATTAATTAACTATAACATAGTCCATCTGACTACATGAATTATAAGTTAACTATAACATAGTTCCTCTGACTAAATCAATAATTAATTAACTATAGCATAGTCCATCTGACTACATGAATTATAAGTTAACTATAACATAGTTCCTCTGACGAAATCAATAATTAATTAACTATAGCGTAGTCCATCTGACTACATGAATTATAAGTTAACTATAACATAGTTCCTCTGACGAAATCAATAATTAATTAACTATAGCGTAGTCCATCTGACTACATGAATTATAAGTTAACTATAACATAGTTCCTCTGACTACATCAATAATTAATTAACTATAACATAGTTCCTCTGACTGCAGCCATCATTAATTAATTATAACATAGTCCCTGTGACTACATGAATTACAAGTTTACAATGACATAGTTCCTCTAGCTACATCAAGCACTAGTTAACTATAGCATAGTTCCTCTAGCTACATTAAGCACTAGTTAACTATAGCATAGTTCCTCTGACTACAGCACTCACTAATTAACTATAACATAGTTCCTCTGAATACAGCCATCACTAATGAACTATAAAGTAGTTTATCTGACTAGAGCCATCACCAGCTTATTGTTAAATACGTTACATTCTTGACAACATTAGTTTTCGTTTTACCGTTAAAGACTTTCCTCGGCTACACGTTAAGTACCTTTGACTCCAAGACTTTCCTTGGCTACACGTTAAGTACCTTTGACTCCATAACTTTCCATTTTATTTGTTTTACATGCGTTAAAATTGAGTTAGCACTTTATAGCTATTATTTGTTTTGCGAACACGGTAATGATGTATAAGATTATGTTATAAACTGAACAATCAAAGCTATCAGTATCGAATGTAATTAAATGTTTTCGAAAGGTTAAAGAATTAACCGGCACACATTAAACTAGTTATTCTTACCGTGTTTGCGTTTTAAATTAAATTTAATCCCAACAGGAACTTTCCTTTTAGACTTTTCCTCGCCTTATAAGGAAAAGTGCAGTACGCGCGTAGGTCATGTTTTTGGCATGTTTTTAGTAAATACCAGTCCTATTTAATAAACTAGCTTTGACCAGGCAAACGTTTAGTCAATAAGAAACAACCGCCTTATGTACTTACGATGCTCGAAGTCTTAGCAATCCATGAAACACGTTTTCTTCTATGATTTCAAGTTGATTTTCCCGCATGTCGCTACAAAAGGAATATAATAATAATCAAACATATCGAAAAAAACAATACATGATAAAAATGATGAACTGAAATGAACTGTTAAGACACATGACAGTTTAGAGGAATACAATATACTTAAATACAAAAAACAGATTTTCATGGAAAAAAGGTATATTAAAACACAATTTTGAACACTTATAAACATGGGTGTTTTCAAAATAAACTTATTACGACATCTACATAATTAACGACATCTACTTCCATATGCACAATATACCAAACAAAAATTGGTCAAATTCCGATTCCGTACGGCATCACCTTCATATGTTATATTGTATGACATAATAAATAATCATAAATCCTGTATAGTGTATATTGTGTATCGTGTTAAACAATGCCTTGTAATCGATATATGCATTGAAATGAAAGTTTCATATATCTTGGATACGACTTTATCAGACATAACAAGGGAAACCATAAAAATAGAGGTGGTGTTGTTCTGTATAAGATTCAGAGTTTCAAATACACAGAACGAAAGACACCATAACAATGAAAATCGATAACTATAGGTATCTTGGATTAAAATGTTTTGAAGAAATACCAAATCAGTTATTATTTTGCCTTTTATTTATACCAATGGATGTAAACTGTTGATTTTGTGAACTGGTGTCATTTTTTCTTGACGATATTTCAACTCAAAACATTACCATGGTCAAAATGAATGATTTGTACCATAACGCATCGAATGCATCACAATTTAACAAATGTCTGGACAACGACATGCATGATGGCAGTTACATCGACGTGCTCCAATTTAAACTACAGGAATTGTTACCGGTAACATTGCTTACTTTGACCATACATGGACCAAACTTTCAAAAGATTTATACCGTTTCAGTGGTAATACCCTGTGTATGCCATAAATAACTCTGAATACAAAAAAACACAAAATCAGCTTCATTATTCAGAGATATAGATGTACAAAAATATTTGACAAGATATTGTGCAGGGATGAATTCTGCTGTGGTAGGATCTTCCTGGTGTAAAAATATAAATGAAGCAATTCAGTAACGAAAGCACACACTCATTGACATCTTGAACAAAATGTACAAGAGGGGGGATGGCCTAAAACTATTCCAGAACGAAGATATATCCGGAACTGTTTTCCATAAAAAATAAACAACCTCTCTAAATGAGTACTAAACATCCTACAAATTGTGATGGCAAAAATATATATCTATATCAAAATACTCAAAATGTCTGTCGAACAACCCCTGCAAACACAGACAATAATATAAAAATACCGATTCCTTTTGTACAAAAAAATCATTGAAATAAAAAAGAAAATGTGGAAAACTACATCTGGATTTAATTTCTGCAAAATATATCAAACTGCCAGCAAAGGCTGCATCAGAATGACTTATTTTGATATTGAACATGTGTACAATGAATGTTTTCTACACTTCAAGAATGCTGAAGTAAAACCTATTTTTAACAATTCAAAATATATATATATATATATATATGTTCTTAAACAACCATGATTTACCTATTGATAATCGGAGGGATTGTTTTTTAAAACACACTTTTGTCAGACTACTCTTGCCGCACTAACTAACAGATGGGGTGAAAAACATGACAAAGGAACATTTATTAGTATAATATATATATATATTGATTTCAGTAAAGATTTGACCTCGTTGATAACAAAATTCTACTTTAAAAATTGAAAATATATTGATATTCAAAGTTAAGCTTTTATTGCCTCTATCCTTTCAGATATAACCCAGACTAGTTCAACGTAAAAACTCAACAAATTATTATTTTGGAATCACAACTGGTATCACCCACGTTCGTAAATCGAGTCTTTGCTATTTCAGTATATATTAATGATGTACAGCTATGCTTCACAAACTGTGATTAGTATAAGTAAGTGGATGATCTTTCTTAAAATAGGAATTAGTTATACCTGTTGAGTAAGTATATGTATATACAAAATATATGTTACTGTATAGCGGTGGTTTTTCGCAGTGGTTTTAATTTCGCTATATCCACGCTTTGGCTAGTATCCGTGAATTCTAAACACCGGCGAAATTATCGAAAATGATAACCATTCACAACATGTTGAAATACGTATAACCCAACGCTATTATGCAAGCTTAAACGAACTCAAATCAGATTATCACCGGACAACTGTGCAGTCCATGTAAAACAACACTTCCATATATATGTGGCCACAACCTATTTATGTGTACACACTAGGTGATTAATTGATTACAGTTTACTCCTACAAAGATACATTCACATTTGATTTTCTTTTAAGTGAAGTCACTGGCGGATGACGACGCTCGGGAGCAGTGTTTTCAAACTGTTTACCTCTATTTCGAGGTTTAACCCTTAATCGATGACAAACAAAATACTTTGCACGACACATGGGATTCGGGTGCTCAGCGAAATTTAACCCCCGCCAATATGTACTGAATACGAAACCGCTTCAGTATATGCTTAATATACATTTACAAGCGCTTTGTGTCGTACACGTGTTGTAAGTATTGTAAAGTTAATGACGAACATATTTGAGAACATTCCTTGCTTCAATGTGTTATTCCTTGTTTCAATGTGTTATTCCTTGCTTCAATTTGTTATTCCTTGTTTCAATGTGTTATTCCTTGTTTCAATGTGTTATTCCTTGCTTCAATGTGTTATTCCTTGCTTCAATGTGTTATTCCTTGCTTCAATATGTTATTCATTGTTTCAATGTGTTATTCCTTGTTTCAATGTGTTATTCCTTGCTTCAATGTGTTATTCCTTGTTTCAATGTGTTATTCCTTGTCTTAATGTGTTATTCCTTGTTTCAATGTGTTATTCCTTGCTTCAATGTGTTATTCCTTGTTTCAATGTGTTATTCCTTGCTTCAATGTGTTATTGCTTGTTTCAATGTGTTATACCTTGGTTCAATGTGTTATTCCTTGTTTCAATGTGTTATTCCTTGTTTCAATGTGTTATTCTTTGTTTCAATGTGTTATTCCTTGCTTCAATGTGTTATTCCTTGCTTCAATGTGTTATTCCTTGTTTCAATGTGTTATTCCTTGCTTCAATGTGTTATTCATTGTTTCAATGTGTTATTCCTTGTTTCAATGTGTTATTCCTTGTTTCAATGTGTTATTCCTTGCTTCAATGTGTATTCCTTGCTTCAATCTGTTATTCCTTGTTTCAATGTGTTATTCCTTGCTTCAATGTGTTATTGCTTGTTTCAATGTGTTATACCTTGGTTCAATGTGTTATTCCTTGTTTCAATGTGTTATTCCTTGTTTCAATATGTTATAGAATTAGAGGAAGCCTTTAGTTGCGTTTTTGTAGCGATTGCGTAGCGTTTACACAGCGTTTTGCCAAAGATAGAACAGTATTGGCCTAAATTATAAATACATGAATTAATACTAAAGCAAACTTTATTTATCTTCATATCTAGACTAACTCCTTTTGAGTTTTATTTAACTTTGTCATTGTTACTTGACAATAATATGTCATTTCTGTGATTCATCTTATAAACATTTTATCAGACTGAATACTTTGCGCAGATTTATTTTACGACAAAGCCATCAAATAAGGGTACATTTTGCATAACACATCGTTGAGAATAACATAATAACAGCACACTTACAGACTAAGAAGGTTTGGAAGACCACTTAGCGCTCCATCCTCAATGACTATGAGGCGGTTGCCGACTAAATTGCTGAAAAATATAATATATTGTGAAGTAACAACTTTGTATACTGTATGTCGACAGACACGGTGTCTAACTGCATGGCTTTTATTAACCATGCCAATTTAATATATAATTGGATCGGAATCAATTCAATAGATATAAGAAAGATCAAATACCAGATAAATCCATGCGGATTTCAAAGTGAATTGACATGATTATTTACGATTAATCTGACTCAGCGGGAAATAAATTGGGTTCATTTTAAGGGTAATGCACTGGTGTTAATATAAAATGGGGAATTTACAATTTGTGTAACCGCGCGACTGTTAACATTACATACAGAGTATACAGCTTGTGTTACCGTACGACTGTTAACAAATACAGCTTGTGTAACCGCGCGACTGTTAACATTACATACAGAGTATAAAGCTTGTGCAGTCCAACGAAAGCCCTCTGGTGAACCTTCTCAATCCGTTGGTAGCTCAGGTCCCTTAAACGACAGAATACATCCAGTAGTTATATTAAGGAAGGCATAACACTGCAATTCAAAATCGAAATGTGTATTTGATATTGGTGAAATAAAACTAGAAATTAGAAAAATCAATTCTCACCTTTCGACATTCGTTTAGTGATTGTTACAGAAATAATGAAGTTATTTTCGAATGTTGTTTTTAACAATCTGAATCAAACAGATTAAAGTGTTTCTGATCTAATTCAAAGCGTTGTCTCTCAGCAGCTAAGCGATGCAGTATGCTGCATGTGTATATGTATCTTTAAATAATCTGCATTCTAACATTAGCGTCTCAGTCAAACCTGACACATATATCATAGTAATGGACATGTTTACGTACAATGTTTGTAGATGTGAGAGTCCGGAGAAAGCGTACGGCTGCAGCTCGTCTATTAGATTGTCCTCTAGGTACCTATCCTCAACAGAGAGGATAAATCATTAAAACAGAAAACATTAGTTTTGTAACATGATAGCATATGTCAGGTTCTGAAGTATAACATTAAACTAGTAATGTGTTTGATACTGGTGTATATATGTTTCTTTGTCCAAATTGCTTCATGTAACATCGTTATCTCTATCACTAGTATATCATCTTAGCTTCCTCTGTAGTAACAGTAGATTATCCAACTTTTGATTTCGATCAGTGATGTCTTATACGAGCATTGAGAAATAAGACCCATAGCGCTTTATTCTTTTTGAGCGATAATTCGAAAAATGTGCTCCGAAGAGCATTATGATGGAAAGGTTAAAGATATTTGACAAGTTGCACATTGCCACTCGGAAGCAATCCCTTGTCATCTGCATGGAAGGCCAGTAAGTTCGAAGTGACCTTGGCTGCAGTTTACTGTTAGACGTTCGTAGCCTAGTCTTAGTTTTATCGCTGTTTCAGTGCTATTTTTAATTGAAATTGAAAAACTTCTAAGCGGTCAGGAAATCAACACATGTAAAATTATAACACTTATTGGAGCTATAGACCAAAATGGAAACAAATAACACATACTTAACGTCCAGTTGTGTTTTTATAAGCGTAATACTGTAGCATACATCGGCTCTCTATGTAAGGCACAGGGCGCCAGGTAAAACTCCTGTCAGTCATCAAAATGTTATTTACCTGTTCTGTTACCTAGGAGCCAGACCTATTTTTGACAGTCTAACAGTCAATGTATTATTGTGTAACACGCAATTTAAAATTTAACATAATATCAAATAATATAACGAGAAATATATGTATACAGTATTCCTTATTCCATACGAGCATTCCGGATTTTTTTTCATTCCGTAATATCGATTGTCCAATTGTACTCAATCGCACATTTGTGCGGAGAGAAGCGCACAACGGGGCGAACGATTGTTAAATCGCACATTTGTGCGCACCATATGTGTGCGATATGCGGACGGTGAGTGCAGGATGTATGCACGATGTGCACACGCTGTGTTTGGTGCGTTGTGCGGTCACACAACTTTATGAATATTTGATCGATAACTATTGCTTACAAACTGGTTAAACTTGTCAATCCAAGGAAGGTACCATTCCGTATCAGCCGAATTTTGTTCTTAGCTAAATTCCTGAAGCAAAAGTGAAAAAGACAGACAGTATTAATGATATAGGACTGTATTGATTCAGTAAGCTACATGGACAGTCATGTAGTGCGATATTGACACTTACTAGAAAGGCGGACAGCTTATTTGGTAGAAACAGCAATCATACATGCACAGTCATGAACAACACATTTTGCGTGAAACAAAAATGTATCATTTATTTATTTTTGGAGCATCAACCACAAATATAATGAAAATATTTATAACCAACGACATTCAGTATTCACAGTTCATAACAATTCATTCAATTTGGTTTGTGACGGGAATCGCAAGACACAATAAGCATAACATTTTAACATAATGTGTTTACATTGCTGAGGGTTATTTACAGGAATGTCACTTACAATATACTGAGCCTGAACAAATGGAGGAAACAGCCGGTGGGTAGATTACTGATAGAGTTGTTACTCAGGTCTCTGAAACAACACAAACACTTATCAGCGTGTGACATCGAATAGTATAGAAATGTTAATTTGATAAAAAAAAAAAAAAACTTCCATCGATATGTGGAGAGAGAGAGAGATACATTTGCATCATTACAGTCAAAACCGTCAATTATGTGCGAACATCGATATAGACCCGCTTTTGAGAAATGATGACCGTATTGTGATACGCTCTTCCGTAAAATATCACCACGACATAAGCATACTTCTTTCATGATTCGCCAACCAACACAATAATAATCACGATTTTATTTTGTCGTGGTTGTTGGCTTGATGGCTACATAGAGACGTGAAGTCAATATTCACAACATCTGTAATGATATTAACGGAAAAACAAATAACGATTAAAGATAAAAGCATGTGAATTTTGATGGTATGTGATTGAGGACATTAAGGGCTACGTCATGAATATGGTATTGAAGACCTGCTTCCATCCGGAGAGGTTTCATTGTGTAAATGTTTGTGAGAAAATCGTATATATTTATTTCATAAAGGTAGATAGATGTCGCTATATGTAGAAAATATGTTGGTTTGTTTTTTTATCAAAACCTATCAACATATTGTTATGACAAGTTATTCCGTTAAGGTTCTGAATTACTGAATAGATATTCAACAGCTTTGTATTTATCCGTTCCCGCCATTGCGTCTTTGTATAGCTGTAGGCGTTATCGACGTATATATAATACAGGCTATCCAAACTGACAGCTACATATGACAAAAACAAATCTTCAGGCATTTGATACAGGTTGTTTAGTACAAAACGATGACAGCGTCATTTATTTCTTATTAGAAGCATACATGTTTATACTTAAAACAGCAGTAAAATCCAGAATACGAGAAATACAAATTAACCTTTGAAGTACATTGTAATGTTGCAGATCTCTCCTCAGCTTTGTATGGTTCACACTTATTGGGTTTTGTAGTCTCCTTTACAAGTCATACATCGGTAAATATTATAGCTTTTCTCTGTCTGTACAATACACACTACCCATGCTGAGCTAGACGCTCTTGCAGCTTATATTGTTCTATATTGTCCTTGACACCAATTACAGATGTTCTGTTTTCCTGTCGGCAACTCTACGTGACCTAAATTGGTCTTTTTGTGTCATGGTAAATAATTTATTTCAGATTTCACATTAATGAATTTTATAACATGTTAGTCTGTTTGATATCCTATAAATCATTCAGTTTATATTGTTTTATATTATATATCTACTCATCTAATTCTTCAAAATGTAAAGTTTATAGTGCAATGTCAATACTCGTAGGACTTAATTGTTTGTATATTGATTGTTTTTTTCTGTCATATGAATAAATATATTTAAATCTATATCACATGTAGCATGTAAAGATAATAAGGTAAAACCAATAAAGCTACATAATACTCACATATGAATCAGACTACTGTACGCCTTAAACGTATTGTTGTTCAGCGTCTGGTTGAAGAAGTTGCCCCTGAGGTTGCTACAAAACAAAAACCTCGAGAATTGTATTTTGTTTTTGACGTGTAAAAATATAGAAGTGTCACCAACACCAGTAATTAGAATTCAAAATTAATAAACCTAGTGCAAACTAGAAACAAAGTAAACAACAGGACCAGGTGTTGTTAGAGGGTTGGGTACTGTCTTGGTTTAGTATAAAGACAGCATATCTATATTTTAAAAATCACTATTGCATATCGTTCATCATATGTTTTTGATTTATTTGCCTTGTGAAGAATACGTTAAAAATGGGTATCGGAATCAATCAGATGGATAGGTTTATATGTCAATCTTGCTACGGATATAAACAAAGATGAATACGCTACATGTTTAAAAACAAATTGCATTGTACAATTCAGCACTATAGCTTAAAAAACTATATATTATTACAAACTATATTGGTATAGTCGAGTATAAATTAACATCCCTTGCTTATTAAATTAAATTGGCTGTCTAGAAAAACTTGTTTATTCTTCAAAGAGAAAGAAACCACATTGCTGAATCCTTGGTTTGTACCCACAGACTGCTTCAGAGGATACATTTCCGTGACATGTATAGAATATACATCACAGATGTTGACATATGGCATTTGTTTTCAATTTGTTTTCCAAATCGAATTTAAAAATCAGATTGTGTTTCCTATGGAGTCTCGACTACCCATTTCCTATGTCAGATCGTGGCTATTCATATAACGAACTACGAATCGTATTATGTTAGGGAGTTACATGAGATATACATACAACTGGCGAAGGGCCTTCTCGTAAACCAGACCCACTGGGAGCACCTGCAGCCCCATGTTACTGCAGTCTATCTCATCGCCTTCACACATGCATTCTTCCGTCTTGTACGGGCACCGGTAAGCTGAAATAAATATGCAGGTACATTTTACAAAAAAATTCAAAGACATAAGTTTTCAAATTGCTACGTTATCTGGACAGTACTTAAACTTAAGGAAAGTTTCAAATTTCGTTACACAAAACTCGATAAACATTTTTTTTCCCGTTTTAAAGATTTTGGTGATAATTCGTTATTTTACTTGTTCGGATGAGTTTCAGAATAGTCCAACAAGTAGTCGTTTTCTTTTTTAACATTTATACTTAACAAATGTTTATAGTTATGAATATCATTTTTAAAAATGATGAAATATGTCTAAAAAGTCAAAAAAAATATCAAAGAGTCATTAACTAACATTATAAAATATGTCGACTCGCCTATCATATTGATGAACAAAATTTTGAAATATTTTATTAGAACAATATTTGTATTTTAAAGAGAGAAAAAAAAATGTCTTTCTTTACACAAAAATAATTCATGTTTAGTACAGTTAAAAGATCTTATGTTCACTCGCAAACGAACAAAATATAATATGATTATTACTTACGACAGCCCTCTTCGTCCACGAAGGAATCCTTACATTCGATTTGTTCGTTACACCGCTGGTCTCTGTCTATGCAGTAAGACCGGTAACACTTGAATTGGTTGATCCCACATGTGTGATTACCTGTTAAATAGTTAAAAGGGTGATTGCAACAGAACTTGATTGTATAACACATATCTGCTGACAATAACAATGCCGATACAGCCAGTTTTTCAGGGTATGCAGTACAAGTTCCTGTAATTTACACTGTGAACATTTAAAATATGGTATTGAACCAATGCTCCTGTCTGTTTGGAATGTTTTGGTTACTGATCAAATGGAAGATTTAATTGGCTCCAAACATGTTAGCACCATTTTTCTCTATGACAACGTGACGTAATCATTCCGTCCTTGACGTCATTTCTTCCGCCGTTGTTGTTTGATTCAAGTTTTCGGGAGACAAACTGAACATTCGATACAGAATCAAATGAGATATACTTTCTCAGAAAATAAGATATGCATTTAAAGAACGTGTGTCGATCTGACGTCTCCGATTGATTTGATGCGCTGCTGGTTTGGATATATTGCACAAAAGCCTTCGTGAAATGTATCTATATTTACGCGCAATGCACACGTGCAATTTGTGACGTCAGATATACATTGTATACACATATATATTGTGTTGCGTATGTATTGATAGATTTATTCAATTCTTCCGTCAGCTCGTCATCATTTAACAGTACCCATTAACTCTCGTGTTTACCTTTTGGTTCACTGTTTGAGAGAAGCTAATGATAGAAATGGAGGAGATGATCGGGAAAATACTTTACTTTTTATAAATATTTCTGCGCGAATATTAACACTAGACGCAATACAAATTGAGTGCTTTGAGCGGTCGTTTCAGGGTGTTATTATTCCCATTTTGGTATCTCTCGAAAGAAATGTATTTACGTTAGATTTACATGGATGATACAGTGCCAGGGGGCCGACAGGGGTCGATCACATGTATCTCAGAGTACCAGGAGGCCGATGGGGCCGATTGCATAGGTCTCAGAGTGCCAGGGGTCCGATGGGCCGATTCTATATAAATAGAGTTTGTTGTTTATTTTGTTGAATGTTTCTATATCATATGTCACCTCATCTTGATTGCTATCAAAAGTATGACGTTGTGTTACATGACGTCTTTAATCGCGAAAAATGACGAAGTAAAAGGTACGTAATTTTGACGTCATCTTTAGTCAAAGTGACGTCATTATTGTTTCGAAAGCACCTGTAGTAATTGCCGTTCCATGGATGCGGATGTTTCCACCTGAACCCGACAGGGGTCTTGACTTTTACGAAGCTCCTAGGCTTCTTCATGTGCCACCTAGGGATACTCGGCCATTTTCATATTTCATGATTCTTTTTCCCCCGAGACACTGATGAAGGAAATAATTCGGCACACCAACAAGTAATAGTTTACATAAACTATTCATTCTTCATAAATAAATTATGAAATAGTTTGAGTTCAGGTACCCAATTCTGTTTTAAAAACAGTGGTCGCACAGGTCTTGAAAAACCCTTAAATTAGATATATGTCTTTAAAAAGTCCTTGAAAATGACCGAAAGCGTGAATAAGCATTAAAATGAATACAGGTCATTGAAAACCCTAAAATTTCAATGTTTTTATACTGTTTTCTGACGCTTTGTAGTATAAAGTTATTTCTTGTTCAAAATATTCTTTTATTTTTATATTTTACATTTTTGAATAGTTGGAAGAGAGTACAGTGTCGTCTAAGTAAATTATAGACTATGCACTGGTACACATTGTGATCTGTTTTATACAAAGAATCTTTACTCAATATGAATAGGTCCGCGTGCGTATGTGTTCGCTTTCAGTGCAGCACAGTACTTATAACACATGTATACCCTACTCTCTTAAATGAAGAAGAAGTCATATGCTTACTGTACATGTATAACTCGAATAAAATGCCCTTCATGCGCACCTCTTTTAACAAAATAGTCACACTATCATACCATCTGGGCATACAAGATTGATTGATATATCTTGATAAAAACTTGTTTCTTCATTTCTAGAACGCACATCAGATTTATATTATTTTTATATTATTTAATATCATCACATTCTATACTCTAAAATAAAATGCAATGAACAGCGTAACAAAAACAGATGGATACGCAGTGTGAACACTACTAGTTTGTTTCACCCACTATCTAATGATAGTCCTGAAAAGTATTGGGCGGGAAGTTGAACGGATATGGCGCATGTCGGGTTGGTAAGATGCGTGCCGGGTAAATATAGCGCATGTCGGGTCGATAAGGCGCGTAGTGGATACATATGGCGCATACCGGGCGGATATGGCGCATACCCGTCGGACATGGTCAGTCCGCGATATCGACTATTCACAGTCAATACGCAGTATCGCGCATGCAAAAACATCCCATATCACGGACAAATTTATGATAATTAAATTGGTTATACTATTATCCGTGTAACTGTCATTGAGATATCACTTTTCATCAAACAAGTTAGCATACATTTTTTTCACATAGACACAATTTTAAATTTTGACGAAAAAAATGTATTTGGTCACTCATCGCGGTAAGAATTCTAAGAAACAGATAAATATACAAATATTACCGAAAGAAGTGCTAGATAAAATGACGTAACGTCACGTCGCTGTAGAAATACATCCTGCTGTTGTGAATATTAACGAAATCAACGTCTCTCGAGTAAAATATGTTCAGAAAGATGATGATGATGCCGCCAGATTCCGTCCTTTACTTAAATTCGTCAACAGACAGTTCCAGCGCTTCATCATACCGAGGAGGGAATTGTGTGTTGATGAATCCTCGGTGAGCACAAAAGGCCATAGTGTGATGCGCGAGTACATTCCCTCCAAGGCCGCGAAGTACGGAGTTAAGTTTTGGATACTCTGTGAGTCAGCTTCAGGGTACGTTCTGCAAAAGTCCATATACAGAGGCAGAGAATTCGACCGAACTCCGCGGGGGGAGCTACAGGACAGTAACGTTGTATACAACCTTCTGAGCGAGGCGTCCTTGCTTGGCCGTGGTTACCACGTGTTCGCTGACAGTTTCTCCATCTTGGAAGTATACTGCTGCAGCACCATACCTATGTGACGGGTAGGGGTCAATATGTATATCCAGTTATAGTGCTCTATATAACTCACTTAATTTTGACTTTTGAAAATTAGGTAAAAAGACTAAGGTTTTATAAACTTTGAACCCACGCACTACATGTAACACGAGGAGCGGGTTTTTTTGTGGGTTTTTTTTCGGAGCTTCTTTGCAATTTACAATTATAAAAAAGATTGGTAGTGTTACGTTATCGGCATGCAGACAACAAATGAGAGCTTCATCTCTGAGTTGACACTCACTTTTTAGTATTTCCTTTACAAGTAAGGTTTGACAAAATCAACTTAATGTTTTTCGTTTATGATACTGCCATATTTAGAATATTTATATTTCATTTATTGAAGGTACGCTTCGGAAAATTTATTGAAGGTAAGCTACGGAAAAAACAGACCGATGTCCCTGACTATACGGAATGCGGATCCGCATCCAGGGACCTACATGACAAGGCAACTTCCTGTGTCTGGCAGCTCGTGATGTAGAGGGCAAAAAGCCGGTGAGGCTCTTATCTACTCTCCTGCCAGCGCAGGACCTTGCATGTGGGCGTCCTAGAATGGTCACTGCGTATAACCGTAATATGGATGCCATTGCCATGAATGATGGGTTATTGAGTCCGGATTGTTGCGTGTGTTCTTCTAATGTGCGCCACAGGAGCAGAACAATTTGCTCCATATGTAAAAAAAAAAGGTCTCCATAGGCACTGCCTCGAAAGGCACAACGCATGCGTAGAACTTTAGAAAGACAATCTGGAAATAAATGTATGCTGATACAATACTTTGACGATATAATTGGCTGGACGTCACAGTTGGCAAAACAGTTGTGGTAACTTTAAATTGACTTAGTCAAATATTTGGCAGTCTAAAGGTTAAACTACTGTACATTTGTAAAATATGTCAATCTGAAAGCTTTAGGGCAATTCCTGTAAACTGTATGCTGACTCAGGAGAATGAAACATCCATTAAATGGCGTTAATGCTGCGATACATGTAATACTCTGAAGAGGTAAAATTAAATATAGTTCCTTACATTCTGGACCAAAATGGTATAAACTGTTATTTAGGTAAGGCTGAATGACTTGAAATGTAAATCCTCAAGGACTATCAGGAATATTTTATTGCTATGGAATTCATAAACAACTGTTTCCTGAATTCACGCGAGCATAAAGCCCTATACTTCTATAATGTATTAGTCTTTTACATGAATTGTAATGTCAGTTGTGTATATGTCTCAATAGTGATAACAACAGCATTGTCCATTTATGAACATTCGATCCGAAGTAAAAGATATAATTGTAAGCAAAACATGTATTAGAACTACATATATTTCTCATTTAAAATAATCATATATTATCCACAATTTCTATTTACGTTTTTATTTATAAACTATGCTATATAGTTTGTTGGAACATGTACATAATGTAAAGATGGCCTTTTCACTAAAAGTGGTACTTGGCTCCCCGCCAACCGAAGAAGTATTCATAAAAATTCACTATTTAACTGTTTGTATCCATTTAATATTTTGTTTTATGCTAACTGTCTTTAATTGTGATGTATTTTGTTTTATGTAATTAAGTGTTTAAAGATGCGAATGGCCTCGAATTTTTTGACAGATTTGATTATTAAATCTCTCGCTGTTTATGATATACCGTGCTGTTCTATAAACACCATCTTTACCAATGTTTTACAGAGTAAATTGCTTGCAACATGAAAGTATAATGAACATATAAAATAATCAATATTGGTATTGCCAATAGCAGAAACTGTAAAGATTTCGGATCATCATTATATTTCTTGGAATTTTCTTTGATAGTAATTGGCGTGTCAAAATCGATAGAAATCATCCAAAAAAGTGCACAATTAAGTCAAAATGTGTACATAATCTATATCATTAAAACAAAAGACATCACTTCCATGCTGATAAGCTTGGTCACTTAGTTTAGATAATTTCCCAAAGCCAATAATTGATCTACTATTGGGGCGTTATCACATACTCCTGCACATCACTTTTATTACATGTCTTTTTCTTCTCTTAATTTCCGTTTTTTTTCTTTATTTTCGTTCCTTTGAAAGAACGTAATAGTTTCTGCCTGAGTTCCGATCGCCGGAAATTGTGACGGCCATACGAGCGTTCCGCAACCAATGTGGTCGGCCTTATGTGTCTTTGAATACGGTTTATACAATACATTGTAGATGTCATTTGGTCTGATACACTCTGTTTTCCTTGCCTGGCAGAAGCACGTTTGTGTCCTCGATCATTTTATGAATACAGATCGTATCGGCTGATGGTTACACAATATTACCATAATCCCACAGGCCACCTTACCTTAATTCCACAGTCCACATTACCTTAATCCCACTGTCCATCTTAAATGTCACGCAGACAACTGATAATTTGTAAGAGATCCCTCCGACAAATCGCTCAGCATCTTTGCTAGTGTTAAGGAATGTGAATCTTTCTCTAACCTATCTCTAGGTATTAAAAAATGTTATAGTCGAAAATGTCCCCCTGTTTCATGTCTGTATTTCTCATTCTTATTTCCTTTCAGCAAATCTTGTGCAACTTGATCGGGACAATGATAAGGGGTCACCAGAACCTGAGCTATTATCCTTACAATGTAAATATGCTTATTAATGGGTAATTTTTCATTGACATATTCCCACCGGCTGAAAAGAAATGATAGCCTTGCAAAAAATTAATGTAATTACGGGCGTACATAACGTGAGCCTTGAGGCAGCGATCTTAGCAACGACACACGCAGTTGGCTGTCAAAGCACTCTTCAATCTCAAATAATTAGGCGGATAACGAAAGTTTCTTATTCAGCTACAAGCGATACGAGTGACCTAAACATGGAACGTGAAGTTGAAGCGCATGTCCAAGGACTTGGGGAGTTATGGGTCATGTTTGGCCTCATAAAAAGTTAAAAAAATAACTTGATTTATGTACCAATTTCTTTTATAAACATCATATTGATTAATTGGGGCTATCTTCCTTGGTGCAAACTTTGTTCAATGCACATGCGTAAATGCCCTATCAAAACATCGAAATTGCGTTGTTATGCAGATATAGCTAAAATAAAGTGTTTCATGCAGTTAGCATGCAGAAATGAAAGCCTCCGCATGTGACAAACAAAACAGTCTTTCTATAGAGTTCATTGGTATGACAATGCTTAAGCATGTTGCATATTTTGTTTCTTGCGGAGGCTTACAAATAAAAAATGAAAGCGTGTTTAGCTCATTTCCTTCGAAATGGCCAATTTTCAAACAAATAGCAAACAGCAGACAATATACACGGCTTTTCTTATGAAAATGTGGGTTTATGTCTCTCTTTGTAATGTCATGTCTCCTTAACCAGTTGTCGAATGAATTTAAATTGTCATATTTGCATACTTCATTTATTCCAGTTAACTAATATTACAGCTAATTCTAAATCCCTGATGAGATCGGAAACGACCCTAAAAGCTCCTTGTCCAATTTTTTTACATAACTGATCAATTTTACCATGTCACAAATATTTTTGTTTCGCCATTTTTTAACACTTTGAACTTTGACAATGGCAGTGTACATGTATAATACAAATCGTGCTGAAAGCACTTAATTACATTAGACGCTGCTTGTGGTTTAGCTATTATCATCAAAGAAGAAGAAGGGAGTCATACATACATATAGCTACTTATGAAATCATAGGTAAGTCGAGGTAAAACACATTGGATTTAATACGTCCTTATGTTGTATTGTCACATATCTTTAGAACTATTGTGTGTCATGTCAGGGTTCAGTGATAGCCCTTACTCAATAGGTAGTAAGTGAGGTCGACAACGATTTGTAATATACCACAAAGTTATGTTGCTACTAAAGTACCGAACGGTTACATAATAAAACTGTCTCCAACAGGGCTTCGTTGTCACTGTTACCTATTCCGTCTTTGCGTATTGCAGAGTTATCTTCTCTTGTGAGCAGGTATATATCAAGAGAAGATAACTCTGCAATACGCAAAGACGGAATATTCTTGCAGCAGACCACTGACAGGTCAATGATGTTTTCAGTTAACAATATACATCAACTTGTCAAAGCGATATCAACCAAACCCTCAGAAAATATCTTCACATGCCGAAACACTGACCAGAACCTTACCACAAACATCTCGGTGCAGATTTGAACCGTCCATGCAGCCACGCCTCTCCGTGCCTATACCCCTGTAACAGACCATGTCTCGGTCTATACATTGTCCGTTCTTACACCGGAACTCATCCTGCCGACACTTGTTTGGTCTGTCTGTTACAAAGTAAATATAAAAATTAGTAATAATTCACACGAGGTCACAAATCAATCATTTCTGCATCATTAGATATTTCATAAATAGCGAAAACATGTATTCTGTGCCAAGTTAAATAATGATGGGTGCAAGGGGACGAAACAATATTCACCCTTTGTATTAACTTTAGTATCCTCTTTTGTGATATGGAATAAAACAGGATAAGTTGTTAAAAGCAATAATGCGTTTTGTAATTGTCTATTTCTAATTTGTTAAGGTGCAATATCGCCCCTTTGTATCTAACGTTCATCTTTCAACAGTGAAAGATTCGCTATTGGCGGTATTTTATGTTCATCTTGTCATAGTGAAATATATGCTGTTGTTTCGTTTAATTGTTTAAGCTTACCCGTACAAAGTGTACAAACCTGGAATTTCATTGAGCGATAAAACAAATGAAAGGACACCGACGTAAAGAAAGTTATCACAAATAAAACATAAAATCGGTAGCGGAAAAAGACACGTAGAGCATTATTTGGAATGAAATAATAATTAAACACCCTGATCCCTATGGCAATATAGAGCTTATCTCGGATGATACAGGGCTAAGTACAACATTAACAACGGTACATAGACGAAGCGCAGATACAATCACTCTTACAGGACAAATCACATACAGAAAGCATATAGACAACAAGGTCGAAACACAGCCATGATCAAACAAACAAGAAGGGCGAAAGGCAGCCACAATTAGACACACATGGTGAAATACAGCTACCATCAGACTAGTAGGACGAAATACAGATTTAATAGGAGAGACAGGACACATATAGCTTTCTCATACAAGGCGAACCACAACCACAATCAGATAAAACAGCGAAACAACGCTACATGTACAGTGTATAATCAGACGCAAAGGTAGAAACACATTTTCAATAAGATAACGACATACAGATGGTGACACAAAGCTTCAGTTACGATATATGTCCTTAAATATGCAGGCGAAACTATATTGTAAAATGGTCGAAAACACATTTAACAAGGAAGAACAATGAATATTTACCACAGTTGTCCTCATCCGACCCATCCGGACAGTCCCGAAAGTAGTCACACCAATTCGCTTTTGAAATACACTGTCCACTCCGACAGTGGCGATGATTTGACGGACAGGGGAAAGTTTCTGTAGCGATAACACAGCAAATAGGGTTATCGATAAGGTAACATTTGTGACAAAATATTCATAAGAATCGATCGAAGTAAAGATCGTACTTGAGCAATAATTACAGCAGTATAGATTAATTGATTATTAAAGAATAACAAAGATTTTGAGGGTTATGCGTTAGGTACCGAAAAAAATTTATGTGCGCTTTGCATAAATCCCTTAAGCGGTTTGTGCTAAATAAAGCACAAAAATGTTCGGTAGATATTCTTTAATGCTCAAAATAATCGTAGCTATTCCTTATATTTTAATTGAAAACGACAAACAGCACATTTTAGTGAAAACATGATAAACAATGAGTCTTCATTTCAATGCCGAGCAACCTCAGCCGATGTACAAATACCGCGCCAAACATAGCGGTATACACCTTGTCATTTTTGTATTCCTATATTTTAGGTTATACGATATAATCTGGAGAAAAGGTTACATGTATAACGTTACAGTGATGTAAACGTGACTGTCTTACCGCAGCCGAGCTCGTCTGATCTGTCGTAACAATCGAAAGTCGCATCACACTGTAGATTTGTTGGGATACACTGTCCACTTTTACATCGGAACTGGTCAGGAGTGCAGGCCGGGTGATCTATAATGATATCCAAGTCTTTGTTAGAAAGGTATCATATAAACGGAAGTACTGCTTTTTAGGGGGGAAAACTATCGTTGATCTGGTCATATTCATCTTTAAGAAAGTTCTGGCATGACGTCGAGAAAGGTTCACTTTTCATTCTTGTTCTAGACGTAGAAATTACCTATTGTTTCGTGTAATTTTGTCTATTTATTTTACCGCTATTATTTTAGCAGTCTCACATGTTTGGCAAGTGCTGCAAAAAGACACAAATTTTAAAAGTTTACATCGAGTTCAACCCATTTGCATCGAAAATCTTTCATTTTTAATGTCTATTACAACCAAGCATAGTTGAACACACATACGAAATAATAAGCCAAAGAGACTGAACCTGTTCGGGAAAGAATGTCGTAAACTAAATATAAAAAAAAGTGGTACAATGAATAAGAAAAACTGAACATCACAATGGCGCGTGTTGTTTGCGTGATGAAACCACACTTTTGCGTTTCTATACATTATTAGAGGGAGACGCATTATTTGTTTTTACAACGATACGAACCATATTTGTACTCCCACCATAAATATGGAATTTGCTACGAGAAAATTAGCATAGGTCGGCATTTCTTCGTCTAGAGCTTTCAATTCTTCAAGTAGAGTTGTACAGGTATACCATCAGAGGGTGGAATTAAATAAACGTGTTCTTATCGTATAGCTAGATAAAGCAGTCTACATGTGATAGACAATACACCGCAAAATCCACATGTCTGTAGATATCGTATGTTTCGGGACTGATTATGTTTATTAGTGATTTATTCTGAACTGCTCGATTTATAATAAAAATCGGTGTAATATAAAAGCGTTGTACCTGGAATTACACTACCTTTAACGAAATAGGTATATAACATGTAAGTGTTGTATCTTGAGTACTAAACAAAATAGGTAAACTATACAAGAGGCCCAGAGAGTCTGTTTCGCTCACCTGTTTCTTTTGTTACATGAAACTGACATATAGGTAACTTCAGACCAAATTTGGTAACTAGAACACAAGAAATTTTGACATCTCTTAAACGCTTCTTAAGATATTGTTGCTTGAAATTTCAAATTTTAACTTAAAGCTTTTAACCCACGTTGACCTTTGACTCCGGCTAGCACTTAATGTTGACATTTGACTTCATTACTGTAATAAAGAAAACGATTCACAGCTGTTACCCAGGTATCATGACTCTAGACCAAATGCTTCTTAGGATATCGTTGTTTGAAGTTTTTAACATATTTGACCCCTTATACCCTGAAAGTAGGTCAAGGTCATTCTAATGAGGAAATTTTATAGAACTTCACCCAAGGTACCTCCTGGCCAACTGCCATGACACTGGACCTTATGGAACTTGAGATGAAGATTGTTAAAGCTTTCAACCCATGTTGATGTTTGACCCCTGACTAGCACTTAAAGTTGATCTTTGACCTCATTACTGTAATTACAAAAAAGATTTGCACTGCTGGTCAACATAATATACTTCAGTATCATGACTCTAGTCCACATGGTTCTTAGGATATTTTTGTTTGAAGTTTTTAACATATTTGACCCCTGTGACCTTGAAAGTAGGTCAAGGTTATTTCATTCCTGGTACCTACTGGGTAAATACCATGCCCATGGGCGTTATGGAACTTGAGGAGAAGATTGTTAAGGCTTATAACCTATGTTGTGGTCTGACCCCCATCTAGCACTTAAAGTTGATCTTTGACCTCGTTACTGTTATTAAAGAAAGGACCCGCACTGCTGATCTTCGTAACATACCCAGGTATCATGACTCTTGTCCAAATGGTTCATAGGATATTGTTGTTTGCAGTTTTTAACATATTTGAGCACTTAGACCTTGAAAGTAGGTCAAGGTCATTTTAATGAGGAAATCTTTTAGCATTCCATCCCAGGTACCTACTGGCCAAATATTATGAACCTAGATCCTACAGTTCTTCAGAAGAAGTCTTTCAAAAGAAAAAGTTGACGGACGAATGGACGACGGACGACGGACAACGGACGCCGCAGTACGGCATAAGCTCACATGGCCCTTCGAGCAAGGTGAGCTAATAAACGGTTAGGCGGAACTATTTATTCAGGTAATAAAAATAGGTATGATATCAAAGTGGTTTAGCTTGATCTACTTTACCTAAAATAAAGACAATCAGATTATAAAAGTTGTTAAGCTAACGTAGCTTCTATTCTACTAAAAATGCCAATAGAAGAATTATCTTGAATAATTCAAACTAAAATACAAATAAGTCTATTGTAAGAGTGATATTGCTGAACTTCTTCGCTTATTTGAGAATAATAGGTAAACAATAGGTGAAATATCTTGATCTTGTAACTACATGTACATGTACGAATCTATTCATAAATATAAAGATTATATATACAAAATGGAACTACTAATATTACAAAAAGGGACTCACCGACTTACCAACTATGACACAGAAAGGAAAGGAGGGGGGGGGGCGATACGATATGATACTCCATAATGGTATATATACACTCACACTATCATTTTGTATGCTTAATATTCTCAGGAGATTGATGTATCTTAAGTGTATGAAAGATATGCCAAAATCGTTAGGGAGATAGAGTGATGCTAGTTCTGTTTATATTATAACACGAGTTGTATGTATGTACCGCATGGGATCCAGAGGTGAGGAACCGTAACTGTCAGAGATACGAATGATGTATTGTATCATTACATATCATAATGTATTCAAGCGATGCGAGATTGTTCTGCTTTATGTAAACGAAAGTTAATCTTATCGTTACTTTTTCCTTTTTGCTGCAAAAACAGTTTTACACGCTATTTGTGAATGAATTAGAAAATGCTATTGAATTTTGTATAGCAACTTATTAGTACTATCTGAATCCTTACCTTCTGAATATAAAAATGATATTGTAAGATAATTTAGAACAGCTCTCATCACTTCAAATACAACTAAATATGTAAATAACTGTCTTACCTAAATGAATAAAACAATAATTTGTAAATATGGGAACTGGTCATTGTTACTTTCATTCAGAAACCAGTTTAACAAGGAACAAAAGAAAAGAACTAATATTAATAAATTAGGAATCAATGCCAACAGGTGGCCAAATGTTTAGCAATACAGTGGACAGACAACTCCTTATTAATAGAGAACCACAAAGTGACCAAAGCGTTAACATTTGTTTGTAGTGTTGATGTATTAAATTATGTTACTAGCACGTGAAATATAATATAAAACTATCTTCAACAACGAAGTAAAAAATCTGAACTCAAATTTGATAAAAAGAAACAACAATACAAACCCAGCACACACCATAACAAAGGTAAAGCCATCAGCGACTCCCTCAGAAAACTTATTTAAATACATATGTGAGAACTGCCATCGAATTATATTATCATTGATTTGCATGACATTTTCCCTAATAAATTTGTTATCAAGTTAAACACATATTTCTAAACATTTGTTTTTTAAATACATTTACGTTTAATACCTATGTTGATCACTCAAATAGCAATCGAACATCTAAATTGGAAAAGTGCTTGTTAGTTAGATATATTTCCTATTGGTTTAAACGCTAGCATGTTAATGTACAAAGCACCTGTATATCGATATAGCTTGTCGGATAGCTCCTCTCTAGTAGCAATATCTTCATTGTGTGTGGCATGCATAATCGAGTGGTGTACAGGCGTTAACAGACTTAGTGTCAAACAAACACTGCAGGATTCCCAACAGATATCGAAAGCAGGCAAATAAAAGTGTCGCGTTCAGTTTCCTTTCTATAACAGCGAAATTAAATGTGTTTGTGCAAACCTTCTTCTCGATAAGTCTGTAATACCTTGTCACCTTACAGCAAATATCTGTCAGTATGAATGGGAAATTTGCATTCAAATGACAGCTGTTTTGCGAAATTTCATTTGTTTTCCAAAATCAGAATTTTAGATTACGGAACGCAATCGGGACTGGTTGCATTGCATCATGGTTCCGTTAGCGCTACTTGTCGCGTAGGCAGAACAAGGATTATCCTAGCGCTGCTCAGACAGTACGTTATGGTTAACCTGCATTAGGACGTATTCCACAGTAGAGATAAGTGATCCTCCATCAGATGTCTCACAGTAATACTACCGGCACACTACCGGCATAGGTATATGTGTGTTCTTACTTCACCATAAAAAAAATCAGGTGCAAACGTCGTTTTAAAATTGAGGTTATCCTTCATCGTTATCAAATAGTATGAAATAAAGGATTACTTCTTCTGGCAGTTGTATTTTGCCATTCAATTAATCCGTACATGGAAAATACATTTTCACTTAAATAGCGATGTTCAATCAAAACTAAACCGCTATGGAATGTTTATATTATATCATTTTCTCGTTCTGAGATTTACTGTAAGATACAACTATTGCACAAACGAACCGAAATATGCTTCAAATGGAAGACGTTGATGATTATGAGCTCAGACAGAAGGTTGTGTAATGTCATTAAAACGAAGTAAAGGGATGATGGAGAAATCATGTTTACTCCACTGTTATACAAAAGAACCTATTGAACGGCAGTATTACAGAGGATCAGACTGACATTGTTTTACTAAGATAATCAGCTTAAAGGATAGTCGTGTATTCCCTTTACTGCTTATGTGCTCAGACTTTACTGGGTTGTTCAGACTTGTTTTACATAATTCAGTAAGAATCGACCTGCGATCAAGTTAAATGACGGATGATAACAATATGAATATATACATTTGGTAATGACAGGTTTCGTACAGGAACATGATCTATCATAATACAATTTAAAAGTAACTAAATTGAAATGGTATATTGCAAAAGTGCGCAAACGCATTCAAAAATGATCAAAAATGTACACGAGCAGGTGTTTTTGTCATTAAATAAATATCACATTCATAAGAGGGCAATATTACATATTTTCACCCCAAGGAAGCATTGTTGACCGAGGCGAAGCCGAGGTCTACAATGCTTTCCGAAGGGTGAAAATATGCAATATCGCCCTCTCATGAATGTGATATTTATTTTATTTTACCGAGTGTCATTGTTTAGGTGTTTCACCACTTTACCATTTTTAAAGGTCGGCAAACGTTTCAGAAAAGTTTTCACTGGGATGAACCAGGGGCGCATACATGCGGCGCATGTAACTTTTTTTGGAATAACACCCTGGCACTGGGACGAACCGTGCACGCATACGTTTGGCGCATGTGATATTTTTTGAAATTACACCCTGTCTTCTTTATCTTTGTAAAACGAGCAAGTAACATTGAAAATGTTCACATCTTTCTCAACCAATCAAATTACGAGATTTTAACAGAAGGTATAATAATAAATCTTATTGAATTTACCTATTCCAAATCTGTCATTACTTGTACGGACACACTACGACTTCCAAACATATTAAAGAGGATTACAGTAAATCTTAACATAATGGTAGAATCGGTCTTTCAGTTAAACATATAGGGATTGAATCTGGATTTTTCCAGTGTTCATGCAAGTATGAACGGGGGAGAATTTACTTACACATCACATGAGCGGCCGTAGCGGATCTATCAGTTTCCGCCATTTTCTATTTGTTAACACTGTGTCATTTGTAGACATATCTTTGGTGGAACTGATTTCGTAATATCGATAATTTACTATCATCATCATCAGGTTTGTATCGTGCTGATTGCGTGATTGCTTTGAAAGCCTTTTTGCCACACTTTATTTAAGATAGATATCAATGTTATATGCATGTCCCGCTATCGCATCACCATCAGTCCCCAGACATCACACCTCTCGCTGGAGACATGGGACATCACTGCATTTCGATAACGACATATAAATAATCATTATATAAATCATTATATACTATTTGTCTATATATAATTACTAACCCAATTTCATTCCACTTTTCCCAGGGCACTGGTGTAACATATCTGTGCAAAAACATGCGTTCTTTCCAAAACGAAAATAGAAAGAAAGGAAAAATGGAAAGATCCGATATACGTTTTCACCTGTAACGTTATCGTTTATTCTGATGGATCGAGAACACATACGTAACATTACAACACCAGTATGATTGTGACTGACTTACAGGGGAACCATATCGATTTTTACAAATAGATGTGAGTTGTAACTAGCTACATAGATTGGATTTGTAACTATTGCATTGTCTTCAGGGGATCCGCTTTAAAGAAAGCACTATAAACTGGTACCCTGATTGTGTATGCATTACTAGCGGCGACAAAAATATGATTGTTAAGACTCGCGTATTTATTTCACCCTTTCTATTAACCCCCTGATGGACTGATCTATTATCAATATCCTGTCGGTTCGAAGAACATCTGTGTCCCGTTCTTGTTAGGACACGATAGGGCACTGTTAACTGTCTTCACTTATCACATTTAGGCCAATCTTTGATGTTGGTATTTTAGGATCAACATTTATAACAATGTATAAAGTAGCAAAGGTTATTGATTAAATGCGTGTTTCCTCTTTTCTTCATATAAATATTTTCCAAACATCTGTGATAGGTACACGGATATAATTTTGTCAAAAAAACATGATAAACCAAATATTTTTGAAAAGAAAAAAATAAATCCTTAAGGAATTATAGACAATGGGCCTACTACTTGGCAATAACTTTTATTTAGATGTTCGTGTGAAAATTTTATTAGTTTTGCGCTGTTATGGTTTCGGGAAATATTGATTCGATGTGCATTATATAAAGATCGCAGATTTCCCTACCTTACCAATGTGACAATATGATAGTGTAGGGGAGATAAAACATAATATTGTACACAGTTTTTCAAACGTGCGTCGTTTTCAGTTCGACACAATAAGATCAGTGGAGCGGGAAAGGGGGTTTACTCTGTTCACAGTGTATCATGCCACCATGCCTCGTTTTGAATGTGAGTGTGTCGTTCCACCCTGATCGTTTTCAATACGCAAAAATAAGAGCTCTAGACTTGGAGGGGGAACCCCATACACAGGTGTTTTTCCACCCGTTGCTCTTTTGTTAATAGAGAAAAAGTCTGTTGATAATTATATACAATAAAAAAACATTCGCATCAAAAGCATTTAAAAGGACATCATAAACTTTGAAAAAAAACTTCAAGTGTACCTATGTACCCGTCGCTACGGTGTTTCTCGTCAAGTTTAGTACGACGTTATTTAGTTCACCAATAAGTCCTCTTTTACATTAGTAGTAGGCATTGGAATCACACTATCGGAAGCTAGGTCAAAATGATGTAAATTTTACTTCAGCGTAGATCGAATGTCCTTCGGTTTAAAACCCTAACTAGTTAGTATATTTTTCAACAGTTTGCATCAAAGGCTCTTGCGTTGTCAAGTGACTGTGACATATTACCTGTATATATAGGAGAGGATGATATTTTACTACCAAGAAAAGGAAAAAACGTAACGAACATAAAATATGAAATTGTTCGCTTTTATAACAGAATTTAAAAGATGACATAGAGAACATAGACTGTGGTGTCTATTGTCACTCACTCGTGGAGGCTTTATTTATATATAAGTAATCGTCTTTTTTTGTGCAGTATAAATACCAATATTGTGAAATTAAAGGGTCGAGCAAGCACCTTGTCCAGTTTAACTGACAAATATGTTTCTGGAAAAATGCATTGACTGTGGAAAAAAACGTTTGACTACAGCATATATCGAATTTGTAATATATGCAAGTAATTTGTAATTACCTGCATTATTCAATATGTGTTGGTAGTCTTATGATAAATTTTAAAGAGTAAATACGATGAGTTAAGCCATCTATTAAACAGGATGGGATAATACTATATATTGGCATTACAATCTGGTCCTCGTGGGAGTGAATTTGGACTCTGACACAATTTGGTAAGTTTGACGTTAAGTTATATGTATTTGAACAATCGACTCCTAGTTGGATTCCACCTTACTTTAATACATGTCGACACATTCCGAAAAAACGACTTTCCAGATATGTATCAAAGTGAAACGTAACCCATACCTCGCCATGGGAGTCTGTCGAAGGCTTAATTATATAAACCAGTCGACCAGTCATATGTTATTGATAATCAAATTTTGCAATATGTCAATTTTAAATTTGGTTAGATCATATACAGTGAATTGCCGTGAATTGGTGGCTATGAAAGCAATACACTATTCGACAGACATAGTATTACAACTGCCACATGTGTCCCAGACAAAAACATGTTTTTGAAATAAGATCGTATAAAGACTCACCACATCCCAACTCGTCCTCGCCGTTAAGACAGTCAGGAAAATAGTTACAGATGACGTTATCATGACCCTCAGCAGGGAGACATCGACCCTCGGGGCACGCGAAAAACTTCTTTGTACCGGCCCTCCTGTTTTCCGGAAAGTCTTCACATTGATTCGTGATATTCCCTGTAAAATTGATAAATAGCATAAGACACCAACACTATGATAGTTTACCATACGGAATATGAATAAATGTATTTTATAATAAAAAATATATCACAAAATAATGATAGATAGATAATTGATTACCTGAACAATGTCGGTTTAATTTAATTTGATTTTAGTTCTAGTTTTAAAATATGATATAATTGGATACAATGAAATTCACATATAGTGCTATTGTATCTCAATGAAATGTCAATCGTCAAATGAATGAAAACCAAAACTGCTCTTGTATTTTAATCGTACACATTTTTATGATTTCTAAACCCTTATAACGTCATCGTATCAGAAAAGCACTTCTTTAAGTTCCTTGATTTTAATGTTTTTCTGACAATATTTTTTAAACCAAAGGATGGTGTATTTTATTGAGGTTTGCAGATAAAGTGCGCTACATTAATAATGCAGTTAAAACAACGAACATAATGTACGTATGTACATGTAACTCCATTTTTCTGTTTGAAAAAGAAAGTTTTTATCAATTTATTTCTATTATTGATATCAGCTGCTGCCGATGTTTCGTGTTAATAGGAACGTATTGATTTGTTTGTTTTAGTGTAACGTGTTCACCCCACCTTAATCATACACAAACGATCAATACTACAATTAACATAAACAGTTTGAGAGATTAATATCGAAGAAATGAAAAGAATAAAAGAATAAATAAACACTTCTGTAAACCAAACATTTACATGTATGGAGATAAGTGATATCCTTGGTTATATAATTATAGGAAATAAAAACTTTTAACTCTAAAACAAAATTTTGAACGGATTATCACGAGATGAAGTATATTGCAATAGGTGTAAGTAAGTATAATCTTCCCCTATAAATCAAAATTGCTTTTAGCAAAACCTATCCGATATTTAATAGGAATAACATATGTGCGCTTTAATTAAAATATGTTTCATTAGGAGTTTCTGTGGTAGCTCTGGCATTATGAATTGTATTTCCCATCTATCTGACAGAAACACACTGACGACAACTAATGGGCGCGATGGTGTGCAATGGAAATTGGGCAAGTTATATTGTAACGCTATAGGAATCCGTGATCGTTTTTCTAATTAGATTCTTGATCGAGTACGTGCAAGCACATGCGTACAAAAGGATACTGTTCTTGGTGTCACTCACTGTCAGAGACGAATATATATTGCACACAATAAGCAAAATGGTATGCGTTACATAATCATCTTTTTTTCCCCGCAATTTTTACTTTGTAAAACGAGCTTTTGAGACAGCAAACCGCCCCAGCACATTGTTAGGACTACCGTTCAATGTGCTGCAATTGTCCTCACCCTGCATATGTAAGGGAAGGCACGAAAACGCTACCGTTTCTGATAGGGTGTATAACGGATACAACATTGCTCTTTATCTGTGGTAATATTACAATGTACAGTATTCGTGGTACTGACAACACCATTTACTCGCATGACATGCTCATAGGTTTATAAATGTGCTGTCTGTATAACTCAGTATAGTGATGAGGTTCAAATAATGTTAAATTGTTGATATATATCTTTTTGGTTAATTAACATAGCATATTACAAATAATTAATATAACTACAATCACAAGTAGTTGTATGTATTTTAGACTATCAAAACGACTTAGTTGTAGGGATTACAAGTATCCTATAACGTTAAGGACTCGCTATATGTACCTCTCTGTTTTCTGTCTCCTTTCATAGCTTTAAAAGCCAGCATGCATACATTTCTGTTGGAGAGCCTATTGAAAGCAAAAGATGACGCATGTATCCATGGCAACACTTACAACAGAAGAACTCGTCCGCACCCTCATTGGTGTTGCGACAGTCGTTGTCCTGGTTACATACGTATTGTTTTGGGATACACCTCTGACTTTCGTCGTTCAGCTTACACATGTACGTCTCGCCAATGGGACAGGCTTGTGTCACTGAAACAAGTACCAAAGGCTCCATCAAAACGCTTCAAAGCTTTGATATCAATTTTTATTTTATTTTTTTGCTAAAATTCATCACATAAAATGTCGTTGATCCTTTTCATTTAAATGGTGCTTCAATGCACTTTACGGATACGAGTACGTATATAATGTGTTATGTATTATAAAGTTTGATGGCCAATGCCAGGCCCCAGTTTCATGAAATTCCGTTAATTTAAGTAAGTTTCTTTAAAGTATTACTGCAATTAATGTAAGAAACAGTTTTTAACTGATGACTTTTTTCTTAAATCAGGCTATGCTTTCCAATGGAAAAGCTTGGGTTAAATCTGACGTTAAGAAACGTTCCTGAAACTGGGACCTGTCAGAGCATAGATTTCTATATAGGCGTCCTGCCAATAAGGCATCTTTCGCAAAGATCAAAACAGGATTGTCAGCATATCTCACAAAATGTAGTAGCGAAACACATTACCAATCTAATACGATAATCGGTACATGTATATATAATTATGGTATTTGATAAGGACATTTCTATTAGATCTTTCGGATTCTTGCTAATAGTTTTGAGGATAATCTGCATCAAGCATACGTTTTTATCAATTAAACGCTTTTCATCTCAGATAAATTTAATTTACCGAACTATCGTACCGAATAAGACGTGAAAATCACCGGAATGGTTGATTCCTATAAACCAAAAACCGAAGAAACAATACAAAGAACAGAAAAAAACAAATATGCATCAGAACCAACACAGATTTAAAAAAAACTTTATATTAAACCTAGATCTACTTGTTGTCACTTTGACGAAGAAAATAAACTCAAAACCAATTAAGGATAACATTGTTCAGACACTTACAACATCCATTTTCGTCATCACATGTCTCTGCGCAGTCGCACATCCCGTCACAGACATTAGATTTGAAGATACATCGCCCATTGTTACACTTGTGTTGTTCTAGGGTGCATGGCCCGCCTATGAATGAAATGAATGTTTGCATAAGCACATTTATCAAACTTTCGATTTATTTTTACAATTCCGTTATTTGTGAAAAAAGATTCTTAGGCCTACAACAGGCTCGTATCATGGTGCATCCTACTTGAAGCGAAGTAACCTCAGCCCTTTACAGATGATGGAATATTTCTCCTCCTTATTAATCATTATAAATGTTCACACTTCTGACCAGGAATTATTTGCTTGGTTTGTTTGTGTTTTACGTCCTAGTAACAGCTATGGTCATTTAAGTATCTGGTTTGTTGTGGTGGAGGAAAGCTGGAGTTCTCGGAGAGAAAAACACCGATTTACGGCCAGTATCTGGCGACTGCCCCACGTAGGCCTCGAACCCGCGACCCAGTGGTGGAGAGCTTGTGGAAGCAGAATGTCAGACGTCTTAACCACTTGGGCACCGCGGCACCTGACCAGGAATAGATTTGTTTTATTGTGAGTATAATGGGGTAGAATGATAATATTCTGTATCTCGAGATTAGAGAGAGGAAATCGCACACCGAGATTTGTCATCCTTGATACTAAATTTGCTCTACCATTGGATATTCTATTATATATATAAAATGAAACACAACAAAATATATGTTTTCATACCATAGAAATGGATATTGTTATAATTAGTGTAGCGTCTGACAAAGACTAACAAACCAAGTTTTAATTGTAATTGGGACTGTAACAGAAGTTCCTTAACCCTTAAGATACGACTTTTCGAATTGTCAAACTCTCAACAAGCCTCGGGTTGAGATTTGCCCATCTTGCATTATTTGAATTTCATTACTGAGAACGGGGTACCTCAGTTTCCCCTTCAGGAGATGATGATAGCATAACCCCCTACATGGTCAAGGCCAAAGAAGAAAATAACGTTTTCATGGCGTAAACTAATATCTATTAATTCTGAACGTATTTTTTCTTTATTCGTTGATTTTGCTATTGAATAACAAATGACGAGTTTCAGTTTAATGGATCTTAACAGCGAGCAATCAAGTATACACTGTGCCTTTATGTTTTTACTATATTTATTTGCCACTCAAAAATGTTCATCAAACATAATACATGAAAACACATGATAACAATATTTAAAATTCGCTCATAATTATATGTGTATGTCATTGTCACTACTAAAAAATTGAACCATTCAATATTAAATTGTTCGTGACGAGTAAATAAAATATATAGTATAAATCAAAATAATCACACATAACATTATAAAGTTATATTTATCGAGATCAACGTATAAACTGGAAACTATATTTAAACAACAAATCATCCAGATAACACCGAAGAGTTTACAAAACCATAATTACAACTCAAAATCGATGAAACAAGGGCAGAATATGAACAAACCATTGATCTAACAGGAGAACTCTGGAAAAGTACATGGACAAAAAGATCAGGTGATCCGGAAGGGTAAGTGTTAACTACTTTATATAGACGACAGCCGTCACATAAATCTAGACCGAATTTATTAACAGAGAAAGTGCGATGATATTGTAAGACACACTTATCGGGAAAAGACTTTTTTTTCACACAAAGAAAACAAATCCAAATAAGATCAGCATGACAATCAAATCAATTGTCAATTTTTCAATAGTATACAGTTATATTCCTTTCACTTTTGGGGGGGGGGGGGGGG